AGTACTTGTGTTTCTAAAGTATTGACTAGTTGTATGGTGAGTAGAGTGGATGGGGATCCACTCGACCTATGATGATGAGAAAGCATGGTTATATACCTCTTCACAGCATTGCCAGCGATGCTGCTCCTGCTCTCTCTCCAGAGAGTACCTTCTTCATCGAGTACTGCTCAGGGGCCTCTCCTGCTTGGCACCCCTGTGCCTCTTGTCGACACTGCTCCTCCTCCTCATGACCTGGTGTCGACTCCTTCGACACTGCTCCTCCTCCTTTGATCAGTGACAGTTCCTTTGGCTCTTGTCTCTCGAGCCCCTGAGTGGTAACCATCTGCATGCTCCTTGAGCTTGGTCCTCTTCGTGGCTGTGCCTGCTCCTTGAGCTTGGTCCTCCTCGTGGCTGTGCCTGCTCCTTGAGCTTGGTCCTCCTCGTGGCTGTGCTTGGCCCTCCTTTGCATGTGAGTCCATAGGAGTCCATGGTCTCCATGGAGACTGCACTACGACCATGCTCTCTACTGGTGTCGACTAGGTCTTCGATACCTGTGCTCCTTCCATATGAACCCATGACCCTCCTGCTTCTTGAGCATCCAGGCCCATGACAGTAACCATCTGCATGCTCCTTGAGCTTGGTCCTCTTCGTGGCTGTGCCTGCTCCTTGAGCTTGGTCCTCCTCATGGCTGTGCTTGGCCCTCCTTTGCATGTGAGTCTGTAGGAGTCCATGGTCCCCATGGAGACTGCACTATGACCATGCTCTCTCCTGGTCTCGACTAGATCTTCGATACCTGTGCTCCTTCCATATGAACCCGTGACCCTCCTGCTTCTTGAGCATCCAGGCCCATGACACAGGGGTGCCAAGCAAGCAGGATAGCAAGGAGGAGGAGCAGTGCTAGAGGGGCTCCTGTACAGTACTAGATGAAGAAGGTACTCTCTGGAGAGAGAGCAGGAGCAGCGTCGCTGGCAATGCTGTGAAGAGGTATATAACCATACCTTCTCATCATCAAAGGTCGAGTGGATTCTCATCCACTCTACACACATCATAACTAGTTATCACTTCAGCATAAGTATATATTAGTTTCAGTCAGCATAGTAGCAATCTATCAAGGTTGCTCCTCATTGTAGTGCATGTGTTGTATCACCACTACCTGACATCCGAAGACGGTTCATAGCAAACCAGCAGTCCAGATATAGATAGAACCGAAGGTAGTAGTCCACTGTAGTCTGGGGATCACTTCAAGCATCAAGTCAACACACTGGACACTCGTGTTGACACCACCAACCTCATCACCAACACCATCAACCTCATTATCATCAACCTCATTATCATCAACCTCATTATCATCAACACTCACCAACCTTATCACCAACACCATCAACCTCATCATCATCAACACTCACACCAGACCTTGGTGTCATCATAACCTATGTATTGATATTGATCATGCCGAGCTACCCCTGAATGGAGTGTCCACAGAGGTCAGCTGAAACCTACAATAGTGTATACAATGAACACCACCTGCTGTCATCGTGCAACTTGATAGTCACTGAGCAACTAGATCATCGAGACCGATACTGAGACAATAGCTGTCGCACAGTTCGATAGTCACCAAGTATCTCGACAGACCGACCTGGGTTTCAGGCGCGAGACCCCTGACAGACGCCACCAACCTTATCACCAACACCATCAACCTCATCATCATCAATACTCACACCAGACCTTGGTGTCATCACTTGGTCATGATGCCAGGGTCAGCATGGGTGGGTCTCCTATCATGGATTCATCCCCTCCCACCTGATCTTCTGAGTGGGAGAGCTCGATCATCTCTTCTTCACTCAGGTGAGCGCGGCGTAGGCACTCCTCTGTCATGGGCCTGGATGCGCAGAAAACAGGAAGATCCATTGATTCATATGAAGGTAGTGCAGGAATCGAGGGATCAGGCAGATCATGGGACTTGCAGAAGAATTTACCAAGATCTGTGGAAGAAACAGCTCTATGGCAGATCTCACCAGGATTGGCAAGAGCCAAGATGGTATCATGAATTATGCCAGGATCTGTAGTAACAAAGATTATATGACATGTTCCATGGAGATGAGGGGCAAGGATGATTGTACAACAGATTCAGCATAAAACTATGTGGCAAGGACATTTGGGGTTGCCACTGGATGAGGTAGGGACTCCCCATGATGATGAAATCAGCATAAGGAGATGGGGATGAAATCAGGAGGTGGATGGATGAAGGGGGGTGTGCATTGTCATTGGGATGAAGTGGGGCAACCCCTATCAGCAACAAGATGATACTGACTCTCTTGTATGCAGGAGCAGGAGAAGCAGTGCTCAGCAGTGGAGGGCACATTGGTAAAGACTGCTGCCACAGTACTGGATGCAGATGGTGCCCTCTGGAGGGAGGGGGCCAGAGCCGAGTTGCAGGTGACACTGCAAAGATATATAGACCATGCCATCTCATCATAAGTGGTTGAGTGGATCCTCATCCACTCTACACCATACATAACTAGTTATCACTTCAGCATAAGTATACATTAGTTTCAGTCAGCATAGTCACAATCAAGTAGATTGTTTCCATTGTAGCATGTGTGTTGTATCACCACTCACTGATGTCCAAAGGCAGTTCATAGCAAACCAGCAGTCTGGATAAAGATAGAACCAAAGGCAGTCATCTGCTGTGGTCCAGGGATCACTCAAGCACTCAGTTGACACACTGGACACTCATGTTGACAACAGCAATCACAAGCACACCAGACCTTGGTGTTAATATCAGTTTATAGCAGTTATTGATCATGCCAAGCTACCTCTGGACAGAGTGTCCACAGCAGTTAGTCAAAACCTGCAATAGCAAAACCATTACTACATCTTCAGGCAAGAAAAGTAGTAGAGGCATCTCTATTGCATATCTCATCAAGAATCGTAATACACAAGACATTACCACATATCTTGACAGGTTTTGTAATAGATGTGTCCCTGTCACAGATATCAGGTTTTGGGTGTGCAACCTCTGACAAGAGGCTTCTCTACAACATACCTCAATAGAAATAATAATACATAACACGTTATCACATATCTCGACAGGATTCATAATAAACGCATTTCTATTACAGATATCAGGTTTCAGGTGCGAGACCCTTGACATGCAGTTTCCATGACAGCAATCTCTATTGCAAGGAAGACCACTAAAGGGCTGCATATACTATTCAAGCATGTATTGTCACTCACACCTTTGCAAGTTGATATGATCATCCAGACAATGTGGCCAATTACCTCTTGGAGTCATTCTCTGAAGAAGATGTTGCAGATGTCACATCTGGTCTCCCTTTGTACCATCAAGCAACCAAGGAAGGCAGGATTATGTGACAAGACAATCAAGCACAATACAAGCAGATAATTGCTAATGCTACTCAAGGTATGTTGCAAAATCAGAAGAACAAGTTCCATGCTGATTGGGCTCTGGATCTCAGGGAAGAGATGTTCAGTGCTCTCTTTGTTGCTAATGGCAAATCATTTGAGGATACCATGGCCAAATCAAGGAGGAATGCTATGACAACTGTGACATATAACAAGCTCCAAGGTTGGCAGAGCAGGCAAAGTGAATCTCGATGAAGAAGACAAAGGCAGAGGTGGCAGGCAGAGAGCTCACAGCATACAGGGGATGTTCAACAGGCTTTGCAGACATAGCAATGGCAATATGAATGGCTATATCTACTTTGATTGTGTGACAAGAGTGTCAAAGATGGTGGAGCTACAAGGTGGTTTGAATTCTGGAACTGCTTCATTTTCCAGCCAACACTACCCTCCCTTGGTTGGCTTTGAAAACTAACCCTCTAAAAACACAGCTTACATTTGAGGGCATCAATTTCCTGAGCTTTTTTGAGTATTGGAATACTCTAGTTTTCGAGGGCAAAAAACAATTGAAACCCCCTACTGTCCTCATTCAACTTCTTCCGCCATGGACATCTTTTGAGAAACGTCTCAAAACCCGTCTTTCCTGCCTCTGAATCGAATGATGTCCTCGGTAGACGGAGGTCCCAACCGAGGTCATCATCGTCGTCCATTCCACCGGTTTCCGGCCCCACTTTGGCACCGATAGCCGGTAGCTTGGCTGGCGTTCGGCTTTTTACACTTGCCAAAGTCCGATTTTTATTTTTTATTTTTATTTTTTTTAATGTTAGTTTTGTCACGACACGACTTTGTCCGGCTCGGGCGTGTTCGGATCGTTCCTTCCTGCTTGTTGGCGTTGAAGTTGATGTAAGGGTGCAGAGTTTTCTGAAGTGACCGGCGTGCAAGCGTGTGTGTCCACGTCGTGCGACCCGATTCGACGATCGGCACCGATGGATAAAACTTTCGATACCGAACATCCAATTTCGATCTGTGTAGGATAGATCACGATCGTAAGTGCTGGTATGTTGTTGATGATGGATTGTGTATTCACTTCGGACGTAAGGGTGTGTAAGAGAGGAGAGTACAAAAGCCACTATATCCGTGGGCTGGGGTTGACGGGATCGACCGGACGATTTGTTTTACTCTTCCACGGAGATGTCAGGAATGAACGAAAAAGTCGCTTTTTCCTAAGAGCTGAGCCGGAAAATGGAAAAACTTGCAACAAACCGGGAAACACTTTTCCCGCCGTGTTCCCAAGCGAAAGGATCGTCGACACGTCAAACAGGCAAGTAGTCATTGAGCATACCCACCCTTCAATGACTCACAGCATATCGAGTCCCGTCCTCGGCTTGCTTTCAATCCACACCTTGTCCCACGACCACATAGACAAACAGCTATATCCGAAGCGACAGACCTAGCTTTCACTCTTGTCCTACCTACCATCACCACCATACACCGGCGGAAGACCTTCTCGCCACATCGCCTACGTGACACATCCTCCTATACAAACCATTACTAGCAGCAGCTCAAGGGTATATAGTCTATCTTACAAGTCGATCATCATTACGACCTCTCCCCAAAGACCACATCCTATTTCGTACCAATCTACTGAATCAGCCACAATGCCCTACCAATACCTCACATTCAGCGACCTGTACGAGGAAGAAGTGCGCTCCTCTGCACCATCATCGCCCGTCATGGGCGCCACAGCATCCCTCTCGCCTGTCTTCCTCCTTCCCTCTGCACACCCACATGCTTCCTCTAGCAGTCAGACATCATCATCGTCACATTGTAAACTCCCATCTCGCACCTACTCCCAACGCAGAAAGGACGTGAATGAATCTTCCCTCCTCCAAACTTCCACATCAGAGTGCGACGAGATCGTTTCACCAACCAGCTCTCCCTCTACCCACTCCTCTATCCCACATGTTAACCTGCACTTGGACTTTTTCAAGATGTTCTCCAAGCGACGAAACTCCAAGAAGAGCAAAAATTCTGACTCGGCTTTCTCTACACCAGCAAGCTCTCGTCGCTCTTCCTTCACATCACATTACGGCTTTGCAACGCTACACCCTGCATCTGCTGCTTCGAGCGCAAACACTTCGCCCGCCATCTCGAGACAAGTAACAAAGATGAGCGATTACGATGCATTGGTGCAAAGGACAGCAAGGGAAGAGCAGCAGGAAGAAGAGAACAGGCAAAGGGAGCTTCAAGCATATCTCAATCAGGCCGCGGAGACCGGTCTCACTCTCAGGAGGGTTTAGATTGGACGATGGAGAGTGTGATGATACCCAATCAAAGAGCCACTAGATGCTCCAAGACTGTATTTCTACCATTAAAACGCATACACACACCACTTATATCTACACCTAATTCTAGCATTTACGGGCCCTCAAAGACAGGGCCGCTTACAAACACACAGTACAGCTTGTAATTGCCTGCGAAAGAGATCTGTTCCTGAGTTCAGAGCTACTTGTATGTTGTATCCACTTTGACATACTACATGTGGACTGCGCGGAGATTAAACGTCCTCACGTCCACCCTTAAACTCCTCCCTCCCCAACGCAGCCCTCAAGGCCTTGTAAGCAACAGCAAAGTCCTTTCCGCCATACTCTTCATTACCACCCAGTGCTTCATAAATACTCGCCGTTAGCTGTCCGAGTGGTGTTGGAACACCCTCTAACTTCGCTGTGTTCATAGCCAACTTCAGATCTTTTGCCATCAATCTTGCTGCGAATCCACCTTGATAGTCTCTGTCTGCTGGTGGACTGTACTTTGTCCCCTCCAGTGCTCCTGGGCAAGGGTTATTGACTTCGCTTGACCAGCATTTGCCGGTGGAAGTGTTGATGATTCCAGCTAGAACGTTGGGTGGCAGACCGTGTGCTGTCCCGAGAAGCATGGCTTCTGTAACGCCAAGCATAGAAATGCCAAGGAGGAGATTGTTGGCGATTTTGGCGATGAGACCGTTTCCATTCTTGCCGCAGTGAATCGCGCGGCTTCCCATCAGAGCGAGGTGGGGTTCAGCAGCAGCAAAAGTTTCGGTGGAGTCGGAACCAACCATGAAGCTCAGCGTACCGGCATTTGCACCTACCACACCGCCTGAGACGGGGGCATCGATCATGTCGAAGGCTCCGTTGGTATTGGCGTTTTTGATGAACGCTGCGGTGTCAACGGCTACTTTGGGGTCGAGAGTGGTGCAGTCGATACAAAGAGTCTTTGCTTGGACGTCATCGGCACTTGTGAACTTGAACGATTCCAGACCTTCCAAGATACCATTCTCTTCCGTATAGACGCTCTTGACCTGTGGAGAAGATGGGAGCATGGTTACGATAGTGCCCGAAAGCTTTGCGATCCCGGCGGGTGAGGAGGCAGCAAGAATGTTGCGATTCGAGAAAAGCAAAGTGTTTGCAGTCAAGAAGCGGGTGATGGATTGCTCGAAAGCATCGTGCACGACAAAGGTGACAGCGGGGTCCTTGTTGGCAGAGAGTGTCTTGGAGAGGAGGTTGTTGGCCATCTCTTTACCCATGGCTCCGAGACCGATGAAGCCGATGGTTTTCGATCGATCGTGCGGTGCGCATCGTCGCAGCGTTTGGTTGATGAGGAGTCGAGATGTAGGCAGCATCGTAAAGAAGGCGCGGCGGTCGAGTCTTCGTAGGTTGTGATGGTGGGTGTTGTAGAGGATGGATGGCATTTTCGCAGAGATTCAGATCAGACACGCCAAACTTGTCTGCCCCGCGCTTTACCCCCAGAGGGGGGCAGGACCCCATGCCCAGGGCCCCATGATAATGTTAGAGGGTAGCGGGTATATCGGCTTGAGCCAGACCGGTCGCAATAGGATTGGCATGCATCGTGACTGCCGTCATCCTGATCTCACTCGTCGGTCTATTCTTCGCATCCACGGGTTACGACATCAACACAAATCCACGTCGCGCTCTGCTGACAGAAATCCCCGCCATCTTTGCCACCTGTATTCGGATTTGGCGGTGACCTCTCCCGATCTTGCTCTCAACCTTTGCTGATCATCTCATTCTACTTCACTCGTCACTATGTGTGCTCACACGTATCGCCCGCATCACGCACGTACGGGGGCTGTGATCTCTATGTAGTGTATGATTGCAAATCTACTCAGCTTCTCCGTTAATTTTCATCTTCATCTTACTCCCCGTACTCCTAATACTGACCCCTGCTTGATTCCTCTCCTTCGCCCGATTCCGCTCTCTATCCTTCTCACTCAATCTTTTCTGTTCCCTCACCCTCTCCCTAATACTCAATTCTTCCTCTCTCGCCAGATCTTTGCCCATCACATACTGTCTAAAACCTTGCCTCAAGAACAGGAACCCTTTCCTGAACCAGCCCATATTCATCAACTCTTCTCTATCCGCCTTCCTCAATTCCTCCCTCATCCTTTCCTCTCTCTGTCTCCTTGCACGTGCTGCAACAGTGAGGAACTCGTCTGTGACGAAAGCTCCTCCACCGATTCCGTTCAATGCATGAGTAGGATTCGGGGCGACAAAAGCCTTCTCCGACCCTCTCGCAAAGTCAGGAAACAGCGAAGAGAAGGGTACAGAAGAAGGGTCAACAGAGGAACTTCTGATCCCCAGCCCATCCGCTGCTAAGTTCGTGCTAGTGGCGGCGGCAGCTGCAGCTGCAGCCTGGTTTGCATGCAAGCGCGCTAAAGCTTCGCTGCGTTGTACCATGAATCGATATGCCTGATCCTGGAATGGCCTGAACAGCCCACAGAGCCATTCATGAACTACGTTGAGGTTGTTCCCGTGAGAAAGGAAGACGGCGGCTGCGTAGGCTTCGAACATATCTGCATCACGTTTGATGAGTAGCGGCAGGCGCGCTTTCTCTTCGTCAGCATCGGCTTTGTCTTCTCCCTTGCTGCTGCTGCTGATTTCTGTTTCGGGATCTTCGCCTTTTCGAGCCTTTCTGAGCTCCCTTCTGAGCTCGTCACGTCTTGCTGCAAGTCCGCATTCCTGGAACAACAGAGCGAGGATGTTGTTCTGTGTCGGGTAGTTCGATAGTCTTGTCAGCGATCCCTCGTTGACATCAGGATACGACAAATAGGCCAGGAGACGAGAAGACATGTTGACAATACTATCTCCCAGCTGCTCCAGTCTCTCGTGATCTTCCAAGTCGAAGTCTTCGACCAGATCGTCGAACGCAATCGCATAGTCTCCCTCCTCTCTTTCTTCCTCCTCTCTTTCTCCCTCCTCACTTTCTCCCTCCTCATTCGCGGCAGAGCTGTGAGGACGAACAGAAATCTCCTTTGCCAGGCCCAATGACAGCACTTCCAGCCACCTATCTTTCACAGGCGGCAATTCTCTCCCCCATGCCTCTGGATTGGATCCCAGGTACAACCAGACCGCATCTTTCCCATCGATATCCTTCGGCGGCACACCTTCAGGGTACGGGTAGAAGAATGATTCGTCCTCATCCACAATGCCTCGCTCACGAGCTTCACGGATGGCTTGGAAGATGACTCGTGCTTGAGTCTCCATTCGTTCAAACTTGGTCATTGTTGGTGACGTAATGCTTTTGATCCGTGGCAGGTCGTCTTTCGTTGTTGTTTTGGTGGATTCGGGGGTCGGAGTGTTGTCGGTGGCAGATGCGGAAGTGTTGTCGGTGGCAGATGCGGAAGTGTTGTCGGTGGCAGATGCGGAAGTGTTGGCGGTGGCAGATGCGGAAGTGTTGGCGGTGGCAGATGCGGAAGTGTTGGCGGTGGCAGATGCGGAAGTGTTGGCGGGGACAACATCGTTGATGGGCCGAGTATCGGGTGCCGTACAGAAGCCAGTTAGGAGGGAGATGTGACTGCGGAAGAGAGACCCGCACCAGCTGACGTTTGGGTTTGATTCATCTCCTGATTGTGCTTGTGACTTTCGCCAGCCGTTCAGCTCTATTTGCTGAGGTGAGGGTCGACCGTCTGCTGCGTTCAGTACGTGCTTGACTTTAAGTATTGAGGGAGCATCGAGACCTGACGGAAGTTGTAGATTTTTCGTTGAAGTAGCGGTATCGTTGGCTCTCGCTTCAGCCTTGGCCTTGGCTCTAGTCTCCTTCGCTGGTCGTTCATCCTCCTGCCGTTGCTTCGCTCTGAGGGCTCTGCGAGCTCGCTTGCCGAGCTTCTGTGGTCTCTCTTCCGTTAATCCTTCTTTTGGTACAGGCTGATCATGATCTTGGGGCGGTTTCTCCTGCTGAACTTGAGCAAGAATCCGGCTTGATGAAGCGATACATCTCGTTGCATTCAGTATCCTGCTGGTCGAAGCTGTACTGCGGTACGCAGCTGACAAAGGCCGATTGGATGCCAGCGCGGCGTGCAGCAGAGACATATCGAGGTTGAGTGTCTGCGAGCCTGATCACAGTATACTGCGTCTAAAGTGACATGGTGATGCCGTACGGTTGATATAGTCGAGTGTGGTTGATGTTGAGAAGGCGAGAGCAGAACAAGGTCAGCTTGCGGTGACTACAGTAATATCTTCTTCTTCTTTTTTTTTTTTTTTTTTTTTTTTTTTTTTTAATAAAAGAAAAAGAACGGAAGGCTCCACTCATCTCGAATTCGAGGTCTGATCGGGCACCATCGGGTGGATACAGCATGATGTCCCCACTTCATCAAGCGACGGCAAGCGACAACACAATCTTCCCACCAGCTCTTCCACTCTCGCTCAATGGCGGGTTCGAGTAGCAATGCAAAGCAAATGAAATCCTTCATGTTGATGTGGGTCTCTCTTGCAAGGACACGAACTCACTGACCCAAGTCTCGTGGTCTCTTTAGTACCTGCTCAGCAACCACCATCATGACTCACTCACACATTCCTTTTCGCTCGCACAGGATGGCAACCACTCCTTTTCAATTCCTCTTCATTCTTCTCCTCGCTCTAGCCTTGCTTTCTGGCAACAATGCGGCAGAGTCGAAGAAGGCGGTGCCCTTCGGCAAACGCAACATCGGTGGTCACTTCAAAGACTGGTATCTTTCCAAGATGACCAAGAACTATTTTTGCACTGTCAACGGTCGAATGGTTCCTGTAGACCCCCGCACGGGTCACATGCTGCTTAAGGGTCTTCGCAAGCGCGACATCACCGATGCGTTCGACGATCAGCTTGGTCATTCCGCTAAGACTGAGACTGGGTCGTGCCGCACTCGTAAGTTCTCCAATCCTGTCTTTCCATAGTCCTCTCTTGGGTCCATGTGCTGACACAAATCGATTTGATGTGTTCGGATGGTGTTGTAGCAACCTGGGTCCTGCCCCAAGGCTGGACGCAGCCTATTCCAGTGACGCAATTTGTGGCGCAGTATCCTTGGATGGACGTGGACGAGAGAGGACAGATGCATTTGAAGCCTGATTACAGAGCATGGTTGGAGCAGCAGGGCGAGCTGAGGCAGCAACAGGCGGCTCAGGGTGGAGGACAGGCTCTTGAAGCCGGTGGTGCTACTGGTGCCGCTGCCAGAGGAGTAGTTCAGGACGGTGGTGTTGGATACGTTCCTCCTTCGTTCCTGAATGTTGGTACTGGCATGACAACGAGTTCGGGTCTGGGTGGTAACAACTTTGGTAATGGTGTAGCGGCTGGTAGTGCTGCACATTTCTAAGTCGTCATCAGCTGACAGACCTGTTCGTCCGTCATCGCTCTGTTCCTCGCCGGACGAGAGTCACTTAATTATGGCTGAGTGGATTTACTCGCAATAGGATTGGCATGTATCGTGACTGCCGTCATCCTGATCTCACTCGTCGGTCTATTCTTCGCATCCACGGGTACACTCTCCATCGCATCCAATGTCCCGCCATCTTCTGCACCATCAATCACCTTCCCGATGATCGTGTACTTTCCGTCCAGATGCGGTTGCTTTGCGTAGGTGATGAAGAATTGCGACTTGTTCGTGTCCGGTCCGGCGTTGGCACATGCGACGATGCCACGTCGATCGAACTTGAGCTGTGACCTGATCTCGTCTGGAAATGGCTTACCCCAGATGGATTGGCCGCCTTTGCCTGTGCCTGTGGGATCGCCAGTCTGGATCATGAATGATTTGATGTTACGATGCCACTTGACATCGTTGTATGTTCCGCTGGCGCAGTGGCCTAGGAAATTTTCCGCTGCACGAGGAGTGACATCGCAGAACACTTCGATCTGAGGGTAGTCAACACGCGATAAAGGATGATTGTCAGTATGAGATTGCAGAAGGCAAGAGAGGGAATGAGGCGGGGGTTAGCAACCTACCTTGATGTCGCCGAGGGTGGTGTGAAGGGTCACCGACATAGTTGCGAGCTAACTCAAGTCAGCCAATGCGATCTATCCGTCGATCTGCCCTGCTGAGGAGCTCTTCCTGACTCGAAGCCTGACGCTGCGATGTTACTGGTAGTAAGGTTGTACTTGGACCCTTGAACGAGCAAGAAGAAAGAACTCGAAAGGCTCGGCGTTGACTCCCGAAATCCGCACTTTTTCACTCGACAAAGCGGAACAAAACGCGGCAGCAGAACGGCACAACATGAGCGCTTTCGGATAAGACTATCATCACAAACCCTCGCTTCCTCATCACCGACATCTTGGCGGCAAAGAGCGATGTCGCGCAATAACGATGCAGATATCGACCCGCTTCCGGATGAGCCACCGCCTCCGTACGAGCCTTTGCCTGGCGAAACGACTTCCTCCATGACTACGACCGCTGCTCCGACAACGACGGCACCAGTGGCAACCGCGAGCACAACAACAGCACCGGGCGCAAATACAAATACAGCTTCACACAACCCCTTCTTGGCGCCCGAAGAGCGTCCATCTGGAGCATCTACGACCACAACGGCAGCGCCGGCTGCTTCGCCGAACCCTACTTCTCACACGAACCCGTTCTTGAGCTCGGTCACGCCGCAGCATTCCGGCGCCTCTACAACGTTGAACACGCACACTACAGCTGCTACGATCTCCGCTACTCCCCCACTACCGCCTCGGCCCGCGGCCGCTCACAGTCCGACGACATCCATCGCAGAGCCAACCGGACCGAGCCTAGACTCACGCCATTCGCGGCACTCTTCCACGATCACCTCGCCAGTCTCTCCTGTACCTCCAACGCCTTCAGCGTTCGCTCCACCACCTCGTCCTCCACCTACCGCCTCTTCATCCTCCACCTCATCTCGACCACCAGCAAGACCCAATGACAGCTATCGGCCAACTACGGTCCCCGCACCCGGTCATCCGCTTCTACGCAAAGGGAAGCTCCTTGTTTATCCTCGCAACTGGACCGGTTGTCCGAAATGCAATGATACGGGCTACAAACATGGCGATCCCAACAACCCGCACAAAAGCTGTTGGGACAAGTACGGAAAGAATTATACTTCAGCGATGTCCTACAGCACTGGTTTGAACAATACGGGCACGTTGCAGAAGCCATTACCGCTGCTGAATGGTCCAAATGCTCAGGGAATGAATCCGTGGAGCGGAGGACTAAGTCATGGGCATATGCCAGGTGGATATCCGGGAGCTGGAGGTGGAGGATTTGGTCCTCCTCGGTCGCCCCCTGGGCCTATGCCAAGTCCGTACGGTGGAGGAGGGTATGCGTCTCCAATGCATGCACCACCACTACACGTACCACCTCCACCACAGCGACCTCCACCATCCCCAGCAGGGCTAGATGCAGAAACAGAAGGAGCTCGCATGTCCGACGTTCCACCGAACTATCAGGACGCCAGCAACGTAGCAGAACACGAAAGGCTACCTTCGCAATACGTGCCTCCCGCCCAGCCGCCGCCTGGTCACGGTCCGCAATCTCCCCCTCTCCACTCACCGCCTCCTCATCCGCCGCAGGGAGGATATCACTACGGCCCTCCGCCAGTAGCAGCAGGACCTCCAGGAGGCTTTGTGGGCGGATTTGGTCGCGACCCTGGCGGACCAAACCCGTATGTCACCTTTCAACCTCCAGCGTCAGGATGGTACGGCGCAAGACCTCCACCACCAGGAGCGTTAGTTGTGATGCCTGGTGACCCGAGGATTGGTGGAAGGTTGTGTAACGAGTGTGGAGGAAGAGGATTGACAGAGAGCTTTTGGTTTGGTGATGAGACTTGTTTGCGTTGTAGAGGGTCTGGTAGGATCTTTTAGAGCTCAGTTTTGTTCATGTACGATCAATATACCCAATCGAGACGAGATGCAAGATTCTAAATTGACAGCGAGAGAATGTTTGATACAGCGAATGAAATGTAATAGGGACAAAAAGATTGCAGTCGAGATGGTCTACGAAACCGAGAAAGGTTGAGATGTTTGTATGCTTTGATGGTATGCCTTAAGCTGATGACGTGGAACCTGGGAACTAGACAGGACCTTAAACGATCGGAAATCCGTACTCTCCTCTCTCTTCCCCTCTGACCTCGTACGCAGGCGAGGGAAAACGGATTTCCGCTGGAACAGCTGCACCAGTGGGAGTGTGCGGGACACCCAACCTGCCCAGACTCTCCACCGAGCTCAAAAAGCTCAACTGTTCCGCAGTCAATCCTCGCTTCGGAAAGGAGTACTGCGAACGAACCAAAGTCCAGCTCAGTGGTTCTGAGATGTTCCTTGCTCCAATTGTTGGGCGAGTTCCTGTTGCGGAAGATTGTGCTCTGCTCCTCTGCCGCATTGTTCTTGTTGGCGGGGAAGTAGAGAAGGGCGTGGGGGTGAGAGGTGTTGACACGTGTCGCAACATAGGTGTACCATTGCCAAAGGACGGTATGACATTGGTTCCCCTTCTTGCTTGTGGAATGGAGAACGGATTGGAAGCTTCATATTCGGGTGAAGACTCGGCTGCTGCTGAGGAAGCGGGTTCTTCTTCCCTTTCTACATCCCCGTCCTCCTCTTCTTGCGCCTGGTCTTGCTGCTGTTGAGCAGCTAGCGCCTCGGCTTCTTCTTGAGCCTTGAACAGCACCATTTCGTCATCTCCAACCTGGTCAGTGTAAGCAGGACAAGGCCAGAATCAACGACGATGTTCGTCGTCTTCTGCCCACCACTGACCTGCTGCTCTTCTAGCTTGTAGTTCTGCGCGGTATGCACCGCCGGGTGGTTCAAGGTAGTAGGTTCGGATGGGGAGTGCGAAGAGGTTGACGAAGGATTTCCATTTGCGTTTGAACGGGTTGCGAGGGGTGTCGGACGGGTCTTGTTCGGGAAGGCGGAGAAGGAGGCGTGGCGGCCGTGCGGAAGAGATGGCGGTCGCGTGAGGCGGTGATGGGGAAGCCGGGAGGGAGGCGAGTAGAGAGAAAGGTGCAGCTGGAGCTAGGGCTGCCATTTCGGCGAGTTCGTTATAGGGGGTAGATGAGGTGAGCACTGATGGTTCAAAGCAGGGAGAGTTGAGCTGGTGGCGGTAAGAGGCAATGATCAGAAGGCGATGCTGTGTAGTGCAGGAAGATGGCAGGTGCTAGTGCTGGGTGGCGAGTGTGTATCGAGGTGGGGACGAACCGAAGATGCTGTATCTCGCTGTCAGAAGGAAGGATGAACTTGCCTAGGATGATGATGGCGGTCAGGAGTATCTGATACACAGAAAAGAGGTGTTGGAGGACCATGCAACGACAGCGTCAACACACAAGAAGAATCGTTGGTGCCCGGCAACATTCGCTGTCCTCCTAACCTCGCCAGTGGAGAGCCAAAAAAAGGGTCCACCTTGCACCGCCCTATACCCGTCTAGCCAATAAGGTGCCACCAAAGATAAGCTTTATTTTATCCGCCACTCCCTCAACTCAAAAGCCGCTTCACCACCTTATCTCATCCTCTCTCACTCAATTGCATTAAGCACAACCTTTAGGGGGTCATAAAGATGCTTTTGGCCTGTGAAGCGTGATAGCAGACAGAAGGTGGGCACTGTGATCCATGGCTCGAATTCTGATTGGACGATGTCTGAGGCCCAAGTGCGGGGAACACGGAAGCCCGGCTTGGAGGCCATTTTGACACTGGTGTTGCGCCTCTGTCAAAAATTTAAGGTATGCCAAGAAGACATATTCCGTAAATTCTGCGTAAAGTCACATCTCAGGAACAACCTAAATCGGGACCAGATCAGATCAGATCAGATCTCAGCTTGATACCGCCGAAGTAAGAGAGGACTGTGTGGTTTCGGCGGCATGTTGGCTTGCGATGCCTATATTTGCTTCCATTTGATCCACAGTCTGCTTCTTTTCTGGTGTATGCTCCAGGGCAATGCAAGCTTCTCATGTACTCGGGGTCGTTTGTGATGAATGCCATGTTGTATGCGTTGATTGCGATGAGAAGGATACAAGTACAAATGAATGTCGGAGCCGAGTGCTTTGCTGTTGGTTGCGATCAGATGTCATCCACAATCGACCCTCCGCGATGCAAATTGTCGAGCTGTGTTATTGATGTTGATGTCTGTTTTTCCGCCTCCATGATCGGATCAAAGATAGTTAGCGATCTCTTCCATGCCGTTGATGCTTTCCTTAGGCAGGTCACTTACCAGATGAATGTGTGCTTCGATCTGAGCAAGCTTGTCTATTGCTCTATCTCGCTTCCTACATTCATTAAGCAATGACGACCATGTCAGCTTCCGACTCTCGTGCGGATGAAGAGAGAGGGATGCAACTTACGTCTCCAACAAATCAAGCTTCTTGGTAATAAACGCTCTTGCCTCCCTGTTTGTCAGCTGAGCATAGAAGTTGGCCAGACCGAGTGAGATGATCGGCTTCTCATACTCGATTCTATCATCATCATATCAACATCAACATCAACATCAACATCAACATGTCAGCTTCGTCTCCTTTTCCTAATCCTCTCACCTTGATCAACTGGACTTACAGTTTCGTCTCGACAGCAACCCCGCTTCCCACATCAGCCAGAACCGTATCCCCCACCTTCCCTTTACTTGTAGCATTGTTATCAAACAGCCTGAGAGCATCACGAAGCTTCTTGTATTCGTCAATTTGCGCCACAAGGCTCTGATGTTCGCGATTGGCTCGATCGAGGTCCGGAAGCAGACGAGTCGTTAGAAATTGGCGGGACTTTGTTAGAGCTTCGGCGGTCTCAACCTTTGTGGCTTCGTCAAGCTCGTTGGCCGAGTTGATACGTTCCATGATTGAGCGCTCCTGTTAGGGAGTTTGGCCCCGTATGAAAGCCAAGTCCGTGGAAGAAAGGAGGGAGATGATGGAGATGCAAAGAAATGAAAGCCCACGATTTTTGAGATCCTGATTTCTGGCTTCGTTTTTGCGATCGGCTACGGCTAAGCAAAGAAAAGCGAGTTCCGAAGCGTGAATCACGCACAACGAGTCTGTCAGTCGAGATGTGTGTCCTAACCGCCATCTTACTCACTACCATTCTTTCTGCACTTCTGCGTTTGGACAGCTACGCATAGGGCACGGTCTTCGTTCTAGTAGGATTCAATACAAAGTAACCGAGTTCGCCACTCGGAAACGATAGGTCTCCAACATGCCGCCACTCGGCCATCCGTTAAGAGCACGAGCTATTGGAATGTATAAAGAGGTAAGCTAGCATTATATCGCCTCTCAGCGCCATATATTTGCGTCTTCAATTGACTCCCCTTTGTCAATCTCCGCTCTGAAACCTCAGCTGCACCGACTGGGAAGAGAATACCCAGATCCCAACTACAATTTCTTGGGCAAGCTTCGGGGTATGTTCGCCAGAAACGCACACTTGACAGACGAAAAGGAGATCAACGCAAAGTTGGTTTTGGCCGAGTTCGTCAAGAAAGGTATGTTCTTCGCCGTCTTATGCTGCTATGCTGCACAATCAGCTCGAAGAGACTGACACACTAGGATTTGTTTGATGGACCTCGGTGCAGAAACGGAGACGCTGTACAAGCTGAAGAAGTATCGAACTATGCGTCGGCGATACCTCAAAGATGACTGACTGTGATTCTTCTCAGAACAGCTCTCATCTCGACTCATTTGTATTTGTATCGAATCTACACGATTTTGTGAACAAACGTCTTGATTGGGTTTCACGCCACGGCAACACTCGCAGGACGACCATCATGAGAGCAAAGGTTCACGTTTCCTGATAGAGAACAAAAGAGTTGGCACCGAGGACTGAAGCTAGAGACGAGGCTGGAACTGAAGCTAGAGACGGGGCTGGAACTGAATACTCTGACCACCGTCCACAACAATGCCAGTACCGGTGCAATGAGCGCCCGCACGAGAAGCAAAGAACATGGCAACGCCGCCAATGTCCTCTGGTGTACCGACACGGCCGGTAGGCTGGATGCCTTCAAGCAAGTCACGGTTCTCCTCGAGACCGTAGGCGGTCATACGGGAGGGGAAGACACCGGGGCAGATGGCGTTGACCATAATGTACTTTTCAGCGAGCGAGTTGGCGAGGACTCGAGTAAGGTGCAATGAGGCTGCCTTCGAGGGTTGGTCTGCCAACATTACATAGAATCAGATATTCCAAAGAGGATTGTCAATGACATGCTTGTGAAAGATGAAGAGAAGCGAGAGAATTGAGGGATTGCTTACAAGAATAGGTTCCGTTGCCAGGAGCCGACAATCCACCTTCAGCGAGGGGCACGATGGCAGCAGTACTAGCAATGTTCAAAACACTAGCGTGTTCGGTGTTGCTCTTTCCCGCTTCCAACAATGGCAGCAATGCAACAGTCAAATAAAACTGACTTTTGACATTCAAATCGAACACCTTATCCCAACCCTTCTGCTCGGGAAAGTCGACCATGGGGGCACCCCAAGTCAAACCCGAGTTGTTGACCAAGATATCCAATCTGGACTCGACCTTCTTGACCTGTTCAGCGAGGGCATCGCATCCAGCTTTGCTACCAACATCAGCTTGAAGGGCAATGCAAAGACCTTGTTTGCCCTCGGGGTCGGAAGGGTGGAGTTTGGAGAGCTGAGCAGCAACCTTTTGGAGGTCGGATAGCTTGCGAGAGGCGATGTAGACTTTGGCACCGTTGCGAATGTAGGTGGCGGCGATCATCTTGCCGATACCGGTACCACCGCCGGTCACGAGGGCGACCTTGCCATTGAGTGTGAAGAGGCGTTGAGCGGAGAGCTCGGGCATGACTTCGGGTGCTGCATCCTTGGGCATGTTTGCGACAGTTACCGAGCGACGTATGGAAAAGACGAAGATGGATGAGAAGAAGAAGGGTCGGACGGCAAGTTGGACGGCTCGCTAAAGCGAAAGCCGGAGAGAGCACGGAGCAGCTCGAAAGGATGCGCGCCAAGACGCTCTCTTACAGTCGCAATGGTGAGCTTTACTTTCTTTGGGCCCCGCAATAGCGTTGCACAAGCACACCAAAGAGTTTCGGCCAGCTATTTGACAGAGTAGACCGGAGTCGCGGCACAAATTCAAGCTCCAAGCCGGACTGCAGTTGAACCGGGCATGCCGGGTAGGCCTTCATGATTTCAATGTTAGATCGCAACAGATGACAGTTCTGTACACTCGAAGGTGAACGGGGCGAGATCCGACTCCACACTGTCTGCTGGGAAAACGTTTCAACGCGACACTTGCAAATAATGACACATACGCACAGCAACACCGACAGCAGCAACACCGACAGCACAGCACAGCACAGCACAGCACAGCACAACACAACATAACACAACATAACACAACACAACACAGTACAACACAGTACAACACAGTACAACATAGCACAGACCTCTCTCCTTCTTGCTCCACAGCATACATCGAGTCCACACAGTCCTTCCGTCAGCGGAGGTGGAAAGTCGAATCGAAAACTTTCTTCACAACCACCACCGCCTTCAACCACCTGCACACCTTCTCCGTACGAGTCCGGCCAGAATGTCCAACATCCCAATCAGCGATGACCTGTCGAAAGCCTTTCAAGAAGCCGACGCATCCGTCCGTGCGATTCTCGTCCAGAACGATGGTGGTTTTCTCAAACTTGTCCAATCCGCCCCACCTTCTAGCCCCGATGTGAGCGACAAGGACGACTTCCTTCCTGTCCTAGCCAAGCTGTTCGCCAATGACCCGCAACGGAGCGGATATGCTCTCTATCGTCTCGACTCACAATCAGCCTCGGGCGATTGGGAATGGCTCTGCTGCTCATACCAACCTGATGGAGCCAAGATCAAGGAAAAGATGCAATACGCCATCACACGGTCCTCTCTCATGGCTGGCCTAACAGAACGAAACTTTCTGGAAACCATCTTCGGTGCTACTCCCCGGGACTTTCTGTGGCCTAGCAAGTTACGAAACAGTAGAAAGCACGACTATCAGAATCCACAGCCCAAAATAGCAGGTGTTGCTGCAAGTGAAGCTGCTGGAACAGGTGTCGGTGGTGCACGAAGAAACTTTGGCTCCCTCGGCAAGGCCAACACGTTGCGATCAGAGGAAGAGTCAAGCAGCAACGGTTCGGACCTGGGTGCTACTTCCGGTGTGACAGGCGTTAGCAGTAACCAAGAGACCGAAGAGGGACGGCCTAAGCCAGTGCCTGAATCGGAACAGCCAAGATTGACTTGTCCACCAACACCCAAACGATATAACTCGCACGAATTGACGATGGCATTCAAGAGTCCTTCCCCTCCTGCAACCGAGATTGAAGCTTTGGCGGATCAGGAGAAGGTTCAGCAGCAGAACAGCCAGGACGACGATGCAGCGGCGAGCTCGGAGAATGCCAAGCAGTTTGTTGCAGAAACGAAAGCACCTGAGGAACCTTTGACTCAAGCTGTTGCCGCAGGCAGGAACGAGAATCTCTGGCAACCTACTGTGCCCTCAAACTCGACACTGACTGCAGGCGCAAGTGTCGCTTCAGCAGATGATGGCAACGAGCGGGAATCGAAAGTCACGACTGCGGAACAGGAGTTGGCCGAAACAAAGGCAGCTCAAGAACCACGCACCCCTTCCGCCCAAGAAGGAGGAAAGCTGTCTCAGCCGACGCTGCCCACTTGGCTCGATCAAGCGAGCTTGGAAGAGAAGCCACAGGAGAAGAGCAGCATTTCGATCGGTTCTGGTACAGGTCCTAGCAAGAGCGGCCTGACAGAGCGCGAGGAGGAGCTGGCCGAGTTGCGCAGATTGCAGGCTACGGAACGAGCTACCAACACACGCACCTCTGCTGGTGGCGCTAGCGGCAGTGGGCCCGATGTAGGATTCAAATGGGGTGATGGCGTTCAAGAGTCAATTCAGGGTCTTGCCTCAACTGCATCCGGCACTTCAGAATGGAATCTTGTTGTTCTGGCCATCGATCTTCGAAGCGAGACCGTCGAACTCGAGTGTCCACCTCGCTTCATTCCTCCTGCAGACCTGCCTTGTGCCCTGAGCGCCAACGACCCCCGCATCGCGTTTTACAGATTGGACGATGCAGGATTGCGCACATCAGGCGAGAGCGTGGTAGCAATGCTCTATTGCTGCCCCGCTTCCAGTGGTGTCAAGGCAAGGATGATTTACTCGAGCAACGTTCTTACGATCTTGAACCATGTAAAAGGATTCAGTGGTATGCGTGTGGTCAAGAAGCTAGAGGCTTCGGACAGGGATGATTTCACTCATGCTTACGTGACGGGCGAGATTGAGGAGGTGTTGGCTCAGGAAAGGCACAAGTCTGCTGGGACTGGATTTGACACTGCTGTTGGTGGAGAGGCGCCTATCAACGTAGCGAAAGCGGAGGGCGGGGGTTTCTCGAGGCCGAAGAAGGCTGGCGCTTCGAGTCGACACTAAGTTGAGATACTGCAAGAAAAGACAGAATTGCATATACACGAATCGGCGGTGACAACCTCTTGACACAACCGCATGTATCTTGAGAGAACGCTGAGATGGAAGCGAGCGCCGGCAGCAAACAACAAGGCCTGTCAGAAGCGCTTTGACAAATGAAAGCCTTGATTATTTCCGTGAACAAAGAGAGGGGGCACTTGAGCAGTGTTGCTTGAGTAAACTCCTGCGAAAAGCCAATGCAGCCTGAACTGCAAGTCTAAACGCTTAAAGGCCTTGTGGCACGTTGACAACATGCTCTCTTTACAGCATCTTTGCGTACCACATCTTCGTTCTTCTTCTTCACCATCGCCTTTCAGCACCTCGTTTCCGTTTGTTGCTTCATCTGCATCCTCTATTCCTCAAAGAGATCGAGCGTTGAGCCGACAAGGCTGATCCTTCGCCACAATGGCGTACAAACACCATCGACACCGAACAATGCGGCTACGCAAACATGGACGCACAGCCCCCACCACCACCCTTGCCTCTCCCATCTCTCCACCAGCTGCTGCCCGCCCACTTCAAGCGTCAGCATCTGACCCAGACTCTTCCACACACAAACAAGCCAATGACGCCCCACCGGAAGAAAAGCTGGCCGAACGACACCAAGCAGCCGAAGAAGCACGCAAGCTCGCCAAAGCCAACTCACTCCTCAATTCTCAAGTTCGACATGCTTCGATCGATGCTAGCTCCCTGAGACCGGTGGATTCGAAAATTCCGACAAATCTGGCAAGTGTCACGGGTGAGAAGGGATCTTATCTGGCTAGGTTGGCCGCCCAGGCTGAGGCGGAGAGTAGTTTGGCACTGGCAAAACGAAAGCACAAGAGAGTTGGGGATGGCGTGGATGAGGATGACGATTCTGATGATGAAGGTCCACATAGACATCATCGACCATCAGCACATGGGATCGTGAGGAGCATGGTGGAAAAGCATCATCGAAAGGTGGAGAAACGGGAGAGAAGGCGTAGAAGAGAGAGGTTGAGAAGGATTGCAGCACTAGACCCGCTTAAGGAGGGAGAGAGAGAACATGGACAGGCGAAAGAGACGACTTTCATGGCTCTCATCAGAAAGTACGGTGGAATTGCACAGGAAGATGTAGGCAAGTGCAAACCTTCGCTTGCTCACAATGATAGTGAGCTGGGAGGAACAGACACCATCACCCCCAGCTCGGAGGGCAGCTCGATGGACGACGAACATTCCGCCTACTTGGTTGATACACTTGACGTTGTCGATCCAGGTGTTTCCGCTGCGGGACATCTGTCGAACATCGGAAACTCGCTTATCTTCCCCAACATTCCCGGCTTGTACGATCGTCGGCCCGTCATAGACCTTGCCGCACAAGAAGTCGACTCAAAGGCAGCAGAAACAGAAGCTACACTGCAACTCGAAGAAGGCCGTCACTGCTCCCCTCGCACCTCTTCTCAAGACCAAGACGATCTTCACCTAGACGCGTACGTCCACGAATTGCTCACCAAACGCCAAAAGTTCGCCCGAGCGATGCAGGGTGTATGGGCATTCCTCAAGACGCCTGTTGGTGTTATTGCCGGCATCTATGGCTTCTTGGTTGTGTTTGGTGGTGCAGCACTGGTGTTGTTCTTAGTAGGAGCGATTGATGGAGGGAAGAATAAGGATTACTGGGTCGAAGTGTGGAGTCAGTTTGAAAATGGACTGTTCACCATCCCCGGTGTTGGGTTGATTCCTTGGAGGCTGAGAGACACGTACAGGATGGGATGGATTGCGTATTACCAACACCTAACTTGGCGTTTGCGCAAGAAACAGGGCTTGCCCAAACTAGCAGACAAAAACGACCTTCCCTCCATCGCTGCCCCATCTAAACACGGCAAACATCAATCCAACACCGAAGACTTGGACTCGTCTGATGACGAAGAGACTACCACCATCACCCGCGAACTAGCCTCAGACGCAGTCCTCTCCGCAAGCCAAGCCGCCCACTTGCACGACCTGCAAACCCTATTCGCCCAATCCCAATCCTGGTATCGGCCACATGAGACATTTACCCATCATGCATTCTCCATCTCCTACGCCCTTTCGATTACCATCCTCAACGATCTCAACTCTCTCTTTCAATGCTTGTTGTGCGGATACATGTGGGGATATGCAACGCACTACAGAGATCGACCTGCTTGGAGTACTGGTACTTTCATGCCCTGCTCCTTTTTAGCTGGTATCGGAGCAGCGGTCGTGATTTGGAAGGGAGGAGAGAAGAGTAAGAAGAAGAAAGAGGTTGAGGAGAAACTCTTGGCTGCTTTTGCGAAGGATATCGATGCAAAAGTGGAAGAGGCGAAAAGGGAGACCGAGAGACGGGAGGGAGAGCAGAGGGGGATGGTAAGCATGCCGCTGCGGGAAGAGAAAGAGGGAGAGGCGGGCAAGGCGGTAGATCTCCAAGCCACGCGAGCCAAGGAGAGCGTTTGCGGAGACTAAAAACAACAAAAGAACGCACAAATTCGAAATTGCCAACCAGAGATGTTGAATCTCAACCATTTCTTCCCGCTCGCTTTCCCGCTCGCTTTCCCGCTCGCTTCCCCGCCCTCTTCTCATCCCATCTGCTTAGCTGCTTGCATTAGCTGCCGTAGGTATGCAAGCCATCTTCCAGCTTAGCGGCGAAGCCTTTGCGCTGGCTGTTACACCTACCAAAACCAGCATGGGAAGGGAAACAAGTGATGGATGAGCTATATAGCCAAGCCTAAAAATGAGTTGGCTGATTTTGAGAAAAGGGGAAATGCGCGAAATGCGCGAAATGCGCGAAATGCGCGAAATGCAGGACCAGAAGGGGATGATGCATGTCAGAAAGCATGAAAAGAAAAAAGAAACAAAAAAACAAAAAACAAAAAACAAAAAAACAAAAAACAAAAAACAAAAAACAAAAAAAAAAAAAAAAAAAAAAAAAAAAAAAAAAAAAAAAAAAAAAAAACAAAAAAGTCCGACCGCACACACAGAATTCAGAATTCTGGACTCGCTTAAGTGCAGTTTGACAGCCCCTAAACAAAGCCTCGCTGCACAGAAGAGACAAGCGCACGCGATAACGGTTGCTGTCCTACCCATTGGTGATGTGCAATCCCCTTTGATGATGCCAAGGTGAGCAGGGTTCTTCTCGACAACGACATCCTCTGGCCTTCGACTTTCGTAGATATCTCTTCTTCCCGTTCTGAATCACGACCCACGTATCAACGACCGAGACGCTAACGATCAGTACGAATATCAAGACAAAACACACGTATCAGCCATTACCATCGACAACAACACCCAACACCCAACAGCATCATTCATACCATCTGTCAGCAGCTAACAACGACGACGTGCATCCTAGAAGCATGTATCTTTGATTTCCTTTCTCCACATCTATCTTCGAGTACGCAGCAAGCTACACCAACCAGTCCTCCCGCTCTCCTCCCGCGCAAGGATGGGAAACATCATCTCCCGCCATTCCTCGGATGTAATCGACTCCTTTGTCCTGCGATTAGCCCGAGTGATCGATTCCGTTTTACGAAACATCAACCGTCGGCTCTCCAATCTCTCTTCTTTCTTCTTCAGCCGTGTCTTTGGGTACGATGTGGCATTCACCGCTGACCCAACAACCAATCCTACCACTGCACATGAGCGAATGCGGGAGGCAGGAGGATTGATGTGCGGTCCTGGCAACCTCTGTCTCGTCCCCGCATCCAAACTACAGCAGAGACAATTGGAGAAAAAGAGAAGGAGTGAGAGGAGGAAGAGGGCTGAAGCTGCTGCGTTGGGGCATGATATGATTAGAAAAGCCAGAGGCGGAGAGAAGGGGAGGTATGAGAAAGTTGACAGTACTCCAAGCTCACCTGTCCTGGAGAAAGCCGGGTACAGGCAATGGGAGATGACCGAGACATTAGTTCAGCAGAGTATGGGAGAGGTAGCCAGAGCTCCCGCGGCGAGAGCGGTCGAAGAGAGGGAGACGGTTGGGGAGAGGGAGAAGGGCAAGTTGTGGGTTATCGGCAATGTTCAACCTTCTCATTCTCATACGCGGAGAAATAGTGGGGGGAAGCGGCTACACGTTGTCAACGAGGGATTGCCGGGGGAGAAGACGGTGGATGAACAGGTGTTTGCCCGATTGCGTTCGCCCACTTCTCCCAGTAGAACCCTTCTGGATGTGAATGACAAGGCAAGCAGACCGGTTCACATTCAACCTCGCAAATCATCTCGCCCGCCACCACCTTTAGTAGCAGCAAAGATAGACGCGGTGGTAGAAAAGCACGATACTGCAGCAGAAGGTGGATTAAACGAGAGCGGCCATCTCACAACAAAGAAACCTCTACATCAGCCCACAGCACTTCGTCTTCCCCCTGGTGCGCTAAGTTTAGGCCCCTCGCCTTGGGAGCCTGCATTCCGCCACCCCTTCTCACCTGACCACGAAGCACTCACCAGTAAAGCCAAGCAACATCTTCCAAGGCACGTCAAACTGGACACCCACCTCGAATCCTCCCCGTTACCGAATGCTACTGCTGCATTCATACCCTCACCCCTCCACCCACAACGACACGACGATGAGAATGAGGATGAGGATGAAGTGGGGGATGAAACCTCACATCTAGCAACTGGAATCATCCGTCCCCCCTCCCGCACACGCACCCCAGGAGGAGGAATGCCAAGAAGTTCATTCGACGCAGTCTCACTCCGATCCATCGACAGCACTCATACAGGAACAGGCGTAGGAGCGATAGATGTAAAAACTTTGGCAAGTAAAGCGGTGAAGGAGGAAAGGGGAAGGAAGATGTGGAAAGATCAAGTGAACAAGTTTGCTATGCAGCGTTGTCTTCAGCAACAGGTACTGGGGGAGAGGCGGTTGAGTACGGCAACACTCTCCGGGGCGGGAGTGGTGGGGATGAATGGGGTGAGTGATAAAGCTCTTACTCCAGTTCCAACGCAGGAGGGAGAGGGAGGGGGAGAAAGAGGGTTGGGTGGAGCGAACGGCAGGAGAGAAAGCAGTCCAGCATTGGGGATCGTGACGGCAGGAATGGCAGCAAGTACAAGTATCGGGACGAATGGGAGAACCACGCCTGCATCGAGAGCGGAGAGTCCTTTGCATGCTGTCACTCGCTCCTGACTTTAGTGCCGAGTCTCATCTGTCACGAAATGATACCCAGATCACATATGAATGATGAAAGTTCGTGTGCGTTTGCGATGCGAAAACGATAGTGCTACAGTATACATGAATGAGGTATGATATCTACAAAGCTTTCCTTTTTCTAAAGTATGGTAAGTGCAATCATTGACGTCAGCACACCGCCGGCAACAAAGCTCCAACTGGCAACAACCTTATCCGCAGGACTAGTGCTTCCACTACTACTACCACCACCACTGCTACCAGCCCCCACTCTCCTAGCACTCGTGCCCGTGTTCAAGCCATTAGCCAAGCTCGCGAATCCGACCGCAGCTCCGTTCCCGTTTCCATTAGTGGTAAAGATCGAGTAAACATTCTTGAGGAACGCATCGCCGACAATCCACTGCAAATCCGTCTGACTACTGCTGCCCAAACCGAAAAACGCACCTAGACACTTACTTCCACTCGAGTCGAGTGTACCGGCGATAAAGTCTGAGTCCGGGATGGAGTATTGGATACCATTGAAAGTCATAGTGGCACCAACGCTGGTTCTGCATGGGAAGCTGTAGTATCCGTTACCTTGCGATTGCGAGCCGGGGATCTGAGCGTAGAGGGACTGAACAACGCTGTCGGGACCGCCAATGAGAGTTGTACCCGTGTCAATGGCTGCTCGGGTCAAGCTATTCAGGTTGACATCTGAATCGCGTGTTCCAATCCCACCCAAACGAACCATCCAGTACAACTCCTCAATCAGCGGGTTGTACGAAACATCACCCTGGTACAACGACGAGTTGGTTCCACCGAGAGTGAAAACTCCGCCAGGCTGAGTGCTGTCTGAAGAGCTGAGGGAAGCACGTTCCAGGTAGAAAGAAAAAGTATCGAGCCCTGCTGCGATCCAGAATGGCGGTTCACCGGACGAAGCGAGTCGTTGGAAACCCATACCCATGATTCCCTCCATGTTTGAGCTCGTCAATCCGCTAGACACCTGTGTTGCGACTGCAAAGTTGAGATCCTGGACGGTGGTGCCGGCAAGGCTGAACGTATCGGTCGCTTGATAGCCTGCCACTTCGCCCGAGCCGTATTGGATATCGAATGGAGTGGAGCGGTTGTTGAAGGAGCTCGATTGCGAGGGTTGGTAGTATTGGGATGAGATCCAGAGATCGGCTGAACCAGTGTCGAGGACTACCTCGTATTCGCGCGAAGGTGTACCGCCGTTGAGGGATGCGACCCAAGAAGAGTCGTATTGGACATTGGTGAGGGCTGAGCTGCCTGCTCGGCGGGTCTTGTCAGAGGGGGAGGAGAGGTGGTACTTGGATTGCAGGATGGATTTCTGTTCGTTTGCCCAATTGAGCAAGACGTTGCCTGAGCGCTTTTGGATGTCGCGCTTGCGAACGGGAAGGTGAACTGGTGCTGAGCGAGCCTCAATGTTCGAAGTCGAAGAGGAGGCAGGTGCGGGAGCGGCGAGAGCAGCAGATGCCGAAGCAACTAGCAAGCTCGAAGTGACCAAGGTGGCGTTGCTGAGCTTCATCTTGATATCGTTGATGGACGAGTAGCTTGAACTCGCTACACCTTGCGGGGAGTGAGTTCGATGGCTATGGAAGGGGATGTGGTTGCGAGGCAACGAGGAAGACGGCTGTCTACTTATGGCAGGTCGCTTCTCAAGGCGTAGTCATCCGAAGCAGAACACCGCTGGAAGGAGCAGAAGCTCTGATGTCAGCGTCCTCCTTCTCTCCTTCAGCAGTCACACAGAGCGTAAGCGAGAGCGAGCTAGGGAAAGCGGACCCTTGGATCCGAAGACCATCACTGCCGCCAGAAGTGCAGCAGTTCCTAAGAGAGAGGGAGCGCAAGGTCAAACAAGGCAAGCAGCAGCATCTGGAAGTTCAGTTCAGTGACAGGCGGACGGGCGGGCGATGTGAAGGCAGTGCTTGCACAAGGCAGGGCGCTTAAGCAGGTCAAGTTTCGTGGCTATGACGACACTATGCTGACCGGCAATACTTCTGCCGTGCTTGACTTTTTTTGTGCCTCTGCCAAGAATCACAATGGCTTGGCCGGTCATTTTATCCTAAAATAAAAAATAAAATAAAAAAAATGTGAGTGTGGTTGCTCCTTCTTGCCGTCACAAAAGAAGCTATCGTAGGCTTCGGAAGTGCCTATCAGGATGACACAGGATATCGGATGAGCCGTGGTGTGACGGTGATGAGCTTGTGTAAGTGATCACAGAAGAGTAGAACTTTAATTGTATTTTTGTGTATCGTCACATAGGCTGCTTCGGATGATCCGATGGCGAGTGTGACTTTTGAGAGATTGTGCGGAATTGATCCGACGCGGCCGTGTTGGAGCGAGTGTATGCGTGCGACCAAGACTCGATGCACGGTCGCTGAGTTCAACCTTGCGATGTATAGACACAATTGCAGTGGAACCAGTTCCTAAATGTAACACAACCCACATGATTGCCGCCCAAGACGAAAAAAGTTCGACAGATGAATGAATGTTGATCAGTGGGTGGGTTCGATCGACGTTTCATCTCGAAAAACAGCCACTTTGACGGAAAAGAGGATGCCAGTCATGTTGTTATTGCATCCATAGATCACCTTCAACGCGCCTGTCAAGCTCAGATAGCAACCTTCCGTATCAAAAACACATAGACATGGTATCCGATCTCAATCTTCCTCATCTTCCCGTTCCTCTGTGCTTCCAACAACCCTTGCCTCTTCACTTTCTCCTCTTCCCACTCTTCCATCCCCACATCCTCCCCATCGCTGCTCAGCATCCTAACATCTTCCATAACCAGCACCGCCCCCGCCCTCTTCTTCCTGCACGTTGTCTCGAACACACTCAGTGCCCTTGACAGAGTCCTATGTTCCGCGGTCACCGTCATAATGTACCCTCCGGTGCGGAGAACGCTGAACCAAGACTCGAGGAAGAAGCTGTATAGCTTACTTAGTGATTGGGCTGCTTTCTCCCGCTTACCCCAGGGAAGATCGGTGAGGATAGCATCGATCGAGTTGCGTCCACCGACAAAGTGTTCCAACGAAGCGCCGTCTGTTCCATCAACTGCTGAGAGGTGGACTTGAACGGGTAAGGAAGTAGGGGAGAGATCAGCGAGAGTGGAGATCTGTTGAGCACGCGAGACGGTTTCTGCGTCCATGTCGCAGCCGAAGACAACACCCGCCATGTTGCACGCTTCCAGCATAGCTGCTGTTTCGAACACTAGTGAGCCGTGGCCGCAGCACGGTTCGAGGATTCGAACTGGTTCCAGTGCTTCCCCGCTCTGCAGCACATCCTTCGTCTTTCGCTCCAGCGGCAGAGGAAGGGAGAGAGCAAGCGAGGCAGCACGGTATTCCGCCATCGTAGTACCTCCAACTAGCAGCGCGTTTCTACCGGGTGGCCTTCTCGCATGCTGTGCGGTAGGCGCGGGAAGCTTAAGCATAAACGCGATCTGACCTTCCGTTTTGAGCGCTGGATCGTCCTCCTCGCTAAGCTCCTTTTCAAACTCATCCCCGATCCCGAACCCGGGGAAGAACTTCAATGTGATATCCAACAAAGGCTTTTCCAAGTCGACCTTCCAAGGCGTTGGCGCTGATCGATCAGTATTGCGGTGGTCAGGACCGTTGAGCCAATCCCAAGCGAGCTCGCCCACGTATCGCTCCATCGTTTGCGAGTTGAGCGAGGGAAGATTGTACGTCGCGCGATCGACAGTGGCGCGATAAGTGCGAAGCTCGGGTGTTAGGGTAATGTAGGTGGTCGATTCGATGATGCGTGTCCAGGTGGCGAGGGCTTGGTTGAGTTGAGGGAGGGAAGATTCCCAGATGCTATCGAGTAGCTGAAGTAGTCGTACTTCGGAGGGGAATGGAGAGCCGTCTTCTGTTCCTGCGTCGCTAGCTCCTGAGGTCAAGGGTAAGGCATCGTCTGAAGTTTGCTTCTCCGCTACAGCCCCCACCGTTTCAGCATTCTGATGCTCGTCCTCAGCATCATCTGTGCGCAGGACAGCAAGTTTGGCAATCAACCCAGGTGTAGTCTTTTGCCTACCCAATTTCTTCCCCTCCCTCTTTGCTAGAGCTTTTCGGAGTTCTTTCGCCTTCCATCTCGCCCGCTTACTCGAACCGCCGATGAACTTCTCGTGCTTCAGCTCCTTTGCCAGCTCTCTCGGGAACTCGTTGAGACTTGTGAGGAGGTAAGCTGTCTTTGTAATGCCCAGTTTCGCATCAAAGTATGCATCCATTGCGCTTGTTGCCAACTGGTCGTCCAGCACTCGAACGTGACCGGAGTGAATGCTTGACGATATTGATTGCTTTGATGTCAACGCTGCCATCGCGTCGGAGGGAAGCTGATGCAGAGTCTGCTGAAGAATCTCTCGCTGGGCAAAGTCTTCAAACCCTCCAAACACCTGGAACACCACCGGAACATCCACTTTCCCCACCTTCTGCATCACCTTACCACCACTGCTCCTATCACTCGAAGAGGATGGAGAGGGAGCATAATCAACCAATTGCTTTACCTTTGTCACCTCAACTCCCAAATCCAGTTGAGCATACTTTTGCGGTTCAGCCAATCTCGAAGCCTTTTCCTCTATCTCGCTCGTAATCAAACTCGAAATCGCCGCACTGCCACCACTAGCTAGTTGAGCCTCGGTCTTATTCGCCACCGCCAATCCTTCCGGTACTCTCGCCTCCTCCACCCCTTCCCCCATCCCCAATCCGTGCGGACTGATACTCTGCCAATCCTCTCTCGCCCACCACGGCAGAGCATCCTCAAAACTCCATTCGTCCGTCCAATACTTGATCGCATGCAAGTATATATATAGCTCCTTCGGCTTCGGATCCGGCAACAGCGGGATTTTGCATTCCGGGCAGAAATCGGAAGATTGTTCCCTTACTCGTTTCTGCCATGCTGTTTCAATATCCACCGGTCTATTCAAACCCTTGGCGGGAAGCTCGCCATGTTCGAGTTCGAGCTTTTGCAATGCTCGTTTGAGCAAGTCGTCAGCAGGCCGACTAGAACGACCGTTGGGACCGGGAACGTGTACATTCTCGAGTCCTTCTTGGGCAATCATATCTTTGAATAAGACTTCATCTTTCCATCGAGCCCAATCTTCTTGTCCGTCCTGATCTCCTTTTATTGCGTCTACAATCATCTCGACTTCTTTCTGGCCGATTTGGCCTCCAACCTTCTTCCATTGATCAGGGATGACTTCGGCGAAGGAGGACGGGTCGACTTGGGACCAGATGTTGTGGCCATAGATTGGGTCGTTGCAGATTGGGTGGCCCAGATACTGGACGTGGACTCGAATTTGATGTGTTCGACCGGTAATGGGACGGCAGAAAATGACGGAAGAGTAAGTGGAGGGATCATAGGAAAGCCGGACGAAGATCGTCTCGCAATACTTTCCTTTCGGGTGAACAATGTTGACCCCGCTCTGGCGGTCGATGGTGAGGATGGGTTCTTTGCAGACGATTTCGCCTTCGGGAAACTGCCCCCTCACCCTGCATACGTAGGCTTTGGACACCTGACCAGCGGCAAATTGCGCACCTAGCCTACTCGCAGTCTCCTTCTTAGTCGAACAGACCATAATCCCACTCGTTAGCCTATCCAACCTATTCGTTGTGTACACCATCTCTATCCCATGTTCCGACTTCAACAACCCCGTCAGCGTATGTCTTAAGTACCTCCCTGCTGCATGAACGGGGATAGATCCTGGTTTGACGATGACCAATATTCCCTCTTCATCATCTCTATGAATGATCTTGATTGGTTCGTCCGTTACGGGGGGTTCGTGTCGATGGACGCTGTTGCAGATCTTATCTCCATCTCCAATGATCTGATGGATTTCAGCTTTACGCCCGTTGACGGTACAGATGCCTTTGTGGATTGCCCAGACGTAGTACTCTTTCGTCCGATCGCGGAACTCGGTAGTCATGATCTCGATCAGCTCGCGGCCGAACCATCGGAGCTTGCTATACGTTTGGAATTCGTACCAATACGGTGTGGTTTTGCGAAGGCCCTTGATGCGGGCGGTGACGCTACCACTCGCTGCTGAGGGTGGCTCTGAGCCGTGTGGGCTGGCCATCTTGGCTAGATTCGAAAGGGGGTTCCGCTGATGGTGAAGGTGAGGGTTGATGAGGAGCAGTGAGGGAGAAGGTGGAATTCAGGGTCCGAGAAAAGAATGGTTGTTCACGTGACTTTCTTCTAGATATTTTTCTGGCTCTAAGCGAGAGTGCAAGTCCGATTTCCGAGGTCGCTCTCATTCGCCTCGCCGATGACTTTCCTCTTCACAGCGGCAACACAACAAAAAAATAAGCACAAACCAAAGCCTCATGAGCGACAAGAGTGGGATTAAGGGATGGTAGTCACGTGATTATAGTCACGTGATGTTATCCATGGTCAGGGATTCTGCCAAGTCATCGCGCAGCTACAGTATGCTCTCTCTCCAATCACCACCATTCTCACAGCTGCTCACTTAGCAGAATCTCACCAACTCTTCAAGTGTTTTTTCAACAGTCTCTCCTGCACCCCTGGTGCAAACCCCTTGGTCACCGACACCTGATGGTGTCACCTGACCCAGGGGCCTCTGCTGAGGATCCCCTTGTTGTGACCCATGGGTCACTCCATCCAGGTGGGGTGCAGCCCCCTTCCCCTGCCAATCTTCCTCCCATGTGCATCTGCACCCACTGCCATCAAAGCCTCCCCTTCAGTGAGTTCCTCTCCCGGAGCCAGCCAAATACGATCACCCAGTCTTGCACCGCTTGCCAGGCCTGGCAGGCCACCAGCAACAGTGCATGGGACCTCTGCATCCAGATGACCTGTGCCACCCATGCCACCTCCTTCTTGTCATCTGTTGCCACTGCCTCCGCCACACTGGGCTCCCCTACAGGGCCTGTCCCCTCAACAACTTCGGCCCCTGTGCCTGACCTGGGGTCCACCCCTGACCCCTTTGTGATGATGTCACTGCTTGAGGTGTGGCTACGGGGTGTTTCCAGCAACATCACCTCATCTGTCATGGACCCCCTTCGCCACCTGGAGTGTCACATCACCTCACTTGTGGCAGCAGTGTCGGCCAGCCCGACTCCCACCCAGACAGCCACTTCCTCTTGACCCCTTGGGGCACCTCCTCTCCCCACCTTTACCCCAGCCCCAGCCTTGCCTGTGGAACCCTCGCTGGCTCCTAACAACCCTGGTGAGTCATCTGTTCGTCGCCTCTTCCCTTGGATTCCTGCTGAGACCGTCAATGCAGTGTATAAGGACCTCCTGCGACCTGGCAACCTCAGCAAGCTGTGCAACGCCACCGTAGCCAACCCCAGCGGGGAGAAGGCTGTAAGCGATCGCGCGCCAGAGACTAACTGAGGTTGATTGAGTAAGGTCTACTCGATATGATTTGCCTAAACGTAACCAAGCATCATCACCTAGTAAGTCTCAACTGACCACCTTGAACACTCCATTCAGAGGTTGTGCAGCATGAATGTTGTTTGTTGGTGAGTGGGTGATACACCCTCCCCTACAGTATGAGTGTTCATAGTACTGTTGATAATGCTCTTGGATGTTGTCTGGACTGCAATATGCTAATTGCCTACAGAGGATGGGAGTTACTGGACTGCTGGTGTGAATCACCACCTACAATAACTGACTGGACTGCTGGTGTCAAGCAACACCACCTACAGCAAGGGACTGGACTGCAGGTGTTGAAGAACACTGCCTACAGTTGTCAACTAATGGTGATACAACACACATGTTGAGAGTCATTGCAAGAGCACTGCTATTGCGATGATACATAACTGAGTAAGTATAGAGTAAGTAAAGTTAAGTCAGAGTGGATGCCGATCCACTTGTATGCTAAGGTAGAATGAGAGTATTTATATGTCCAGTGGGTGTTTTCCCTCGACACCTATCCTGCTCCTCTTGAGGGGCCTTTGTCCCCTGTTAGGCACTGTCTTGTCCTGCTGGCACCAACCCCTTTGATACTGTGTTCCTACCATTTGCACAGCATAAGGGTTATGCAACACTGCCCTCTCACCTTCATGCTCTCCTTCTGCCTGATGTGGGATGCCCCCTTTTGACACTGCTCCCTTTCAACTTTATCTTGTGAAACCCCTTTGAACCTCGTGACCATACCCCCTGGTCATGTGGTCACGTCAGCACAGTTCCATCTTGACTTGTCTTGTGAAACCCCTTTAGTCACTTGTTGAACCTTGTGACCTGACCCCTTGGTCATGTGGTCACATTGGCACAGCTCCGAATACTTGTTCAGATCGGCCAACTAGTTGAAGTGTGCTGATCTGACTGACTCTGACTGATCCCATGAGATTGATCTGGATTCCCAGGGTTCGATCAATCTCATAATTCATGTGCACTGCCAACCTGATTAATCTCGTTGATCCCCGATGGTTTTGGCTCTGATCAATCTGGTGCACCCTTCATATGTTGATCTTCTGCACACCCTTCATATACTGCTCCATTATGCGACATTACCATAACTGCCGCTTGATCATTTGGCGCACTCTCTTGCACAGGCCAGCCGTCCCTGTGACAAAGGCGACCCTCTCCTTGGGCGCCTACGAGCTTGCCCTCACTCTCCCTGCCCCCACACCCTCCACCAAGTCATTTCTCAAGGCCATTCCTGACCTGGTCTCCTTTTGCCAGGCCTGGGCCATCTACATGGCCCTCCGTGTGGCAGCCTCTCCTGACTGCACGCTTGGCCCAGCTTTGGCTGGGTTCCTCATGCACATTGCAGAACTGGACCAGCATTTTGACTGGACATACATCGTGGACTACATCCTGATGGTCTGCAAGAAGTGGTTTGGTCATGCTGATGCAGACACCTGGTCCAGGCAGGACATGGAGGCCTTCCAGGACAAGCTTGCCATCGCTCCCACCAAATCCCTCAAACCTCTGGTTGCCCCTGCAGAGCAGAGGAAGGCAGGCACCAATGCCACAGTCTGCCTCTGCTGGAACAACAGCACCTGCACTGGCCCCTGTGGACAGGCACACACTTGCCTGATCTGTGGCACCAAGAACCATCTGTCACCTTCCTGCCCAAGCCTTGCCAAATTCAAGCCCTCTCCACCTTCATTGGTTGCAGCTGAAGCTGCCAGCAAATCTGATGTCAAGGGGAGAGGCTTGGTGTAATGCTCCTGGCAGCACCAAGTGGGCTCCTGCCTATCCACCTGGTGCCAGTTGGATCACCCTCAGGCCACCCCCCTCGAACCTCCCTGGAGCTTTCCCCTCCTGTCTCCCCTGCTCCCTGGCAGCCCCTCATGGACACCCCCACCCCCCAGCCTCCCTGCCCCATTGCTACCCCTCCGTTGGAGGGTCCTTTCACGACCCACCAGCCTATCATGGCTGCCCCCCTTGCTGGAAGGCCAGCAACTACCTCTGGCCCACCTGCCATGGCCACCAAGCCTATCACAGCTCCCACGCCTCTCACGGCACCTGCGCCTATCATGGCCACACCACCTCTTATGGTACCTTGGCCTATCACAGCTCCCAGGCTTATCATGCCCCCCCCCCCCCCTCCCCCAGCCTCCGCCATCTTCTCCCTGCCTGCAGCGGATTTGTGCCTGCACCTTCTCCTGCAGGCCCTCTGCAGAATCCCTGCGGCCCACCCGAACACCACCATTGCGGCCCCAATCTTCACCAGGGACAATGTCCCTGCCTGCTGGGGTTCAATGCAGGAATGCACCCATGCTTGGTGGCGCCTCCTGGCATGCTACCCTGATGCCAAGGTGTGCCACCAGCTGCTGGGTGGCATCACTCATGGGGTATGCATTGGCTATGAGGGCCCACTGTGTGCAGTTGGCTGGCCCTCCCGCAACCTCCCCATGGACACTGCTGGGTTGGCCCACATCCACTAAGAGATTACTGCTCACCTCGCTGAGGGTCGGCTCACAAGGGTCACTGACCCGACCCCCCTCATTTGCTCTCCCATTGGCATGGTACCAAAGCCCCACTCCTCTGGCTTCCACACCATCCACCACCTTTCCCACCCCTGCTGCCCAGGGTCGAAGCTTCCTTCTGTCAATGCCAGCATCCAGCTGGCCTTTGTGTCCCTGTGGTATGAGAGCCTCCAACCCCTGCTTGACTTTGTCTGAACTTCCCCAGGTTGCTGGCTCTGGAAAGGTGACCTTTGGGATGCCTTTCGCCATATCGTCACCTGCCTCAGTGACACCAGGCTCCTGGGCTTCACATTTGATGGCATGTCTTACCATGAGAATGCCCTCACATTTGGGGGCAAGAGCTCATCCTGGCTATTCAACCTCTATGCCAAGATGGTTCATTGGATTGTGAGCTCCTGCCTCCCCCCCGGGCTGCCCCTGAACCATTACCTTGATGACTTCTTTGGGGCAGTCCCTGCAGGGGGGGACAGCTCTCGCCCAGTGTGCCTGTTGGCCCTCACCTGCAAGGCGCTGGGTCTCGATCTGTCCCCCTCGAAGACATTCTTCAGCTCCAAGAAGCTCGAGGTCCTAGGGATCGAGATCAACACAGAAGCTCTGACTATCGGGATCACCGATATGCGCAGATCTTCCATCCTTCGCACCATCCAGGACCTCCTACAGTCCTCCCAGGTCTCCCTCCTCCAGCTGCAACGCATCTCCAGCCTCTTGCAGTTTGTGACTCAGGTGGCCCCTGTCATGGGCCTGGATGCTCAAGAAGCAGGAGGGTCACTGGTTCATATGGAAGGAGCACAGGTATCGAAGATCTAGTCAATACCAGTAGAGAGCATGGTTGTAGTGCAGTCTCCATGGAGACCATGGACTTCTACAGACTCACATGCAAAGGAGGACCGAGCCATATGTGAGGAGGGCCAAGCACAGCCACAAGGAGGACCAAGCTCAAGGAGCAGGCACAGCCATGAAGAGGACCAAGCTCAAGGAGCATGCAGATGGTTACCACTCAGGGGCTCGAGAGACAAGAGCCAAAGGAACTGTCACTGATCAAAGGAGAAGGAGCAGTGTCAAAGGAGTCGACACCAGGTCATGAGGAGGAGGAGCAGTGTCAAAGGAGTCAACACCATTCAGGAGGCACAGGGGCGCCAAACAAGCAGCAAGATAGCAAGGAGGAGGAGCAGTGTCAAAGGAGTCGACACCACTCAAGAAGCACAGGGGTGCCAAGCAGGAGAGGCCCCTGAGCAGTACTCGATGAAGAAGGTACTCTCTGGAGAGAGAGCAGGTGCAGCATTGCTGGCGATGCTGTGAAGAGGTATATAACCATGCTTTCTCATCATCATAGGTCGAGTGGATCCTCATCCACTCTACTCACCATAACTAGTTATCACTTCAGCATAAGTATATATTAGTTTCAGTCAGCATAGCAGCAATCTATCAAGGTTGCTCCTCATCGTAGTGTGTGTGTTGTATCACCACTACCTGATGTCCGAAGGCACCCATAGCAGGTTAGTGGTCCAGAACAAGATAGAACCAAAGGCAGTAGTCCACTGCAGTCCAGGGATCACATCAAGCATCAAGTCAACACACTGGACACTCGTGTTGATGCCACCAACCTTATCACCAACACCATCAACCTCATTATCATCAACACTCACCAACCTTATCACCAATGTCATCAACCTCATCATCATCAACACTCACACCAGACCTTGGTGTCATCATAGCATTGATATTGATCGTGCCGAGCTACCCCTGAACGGAGTGTCCACAGAGGTCAGCCGAAACCTACGATAGTATATACAACGAACGCCACCTGCTGTCACTGCGCAACTTGATAGTCACCGATACCGAGACAATAGCTGTCGCACAGTTTGATAGTCACCGAGTATCTCGACAGACCGACCTGGGTTTCAGGCGCGAGACCCCTGACAGCCCCTCTCAGCCGCGCCTACCTTGGCCGGCTCTATGCAGCTCTCCGCCAGGCCCACTGCTCCCCCCTCTGCCTGCTGCGGCTTCCCTGGCTGGCTGCAGCTGAGTTACATTGGTGGGACCAGCTCCTCAGCTGCTGGAATGGGCTGTCCCTGCTCCTCCCCTCCCCCTTGTGCATGGCTCACATCTGGTCCGATGCCTGCCCATGGGGTCTTGGAGGCTACCTCAGTGCAGCAGGACACCCTGACCTGGTGCTAGCCCACTGTGTCCCTTGCAGGCACAGGCAGAAGAACATCCAGTTTCTGGAGGCCCTTGCAGTGCTTGACTGCCTCCAGGCCTTTGTCCCCCACCTCACTGACCATGGATGCACTCATGTGGTCCTCCATGTGGACAACGAGAATGTGGAGCATGGCTTACACTCTGGAAAGTCCAGGGACCCTTTGACCCAGACCCTGTTGCAGGAGATCTTCAGCCTTTGCTTCAAGCACAACCTGACCTTGTGCCCCACCCAGGTTAGCAGTGCTGACAATGTTTTGGCTGACCTCCTCTCCCATCGTTGTTTCTCCCAAATCTCCACCCATTTTCCTCGGGCTCACCATCAGTGTTCTCCTGGGCTCCTTCACCCAGTCCTCCGCCGCCTCGCTTGCCACCCCGGCCTTTGCGAGGCTCCTCAGCTGCTCCCCACATGCCACTGCCCTCCTCCTCCATGGCCTCAGTGCAAGCTCCCATCACCAGTATGACCCCATTGGCGAGGAGTACCAGACTTTCTGCCTCCAGCACTTTGGTCCCAACCGGCCGGCCCTGCCATCTACTGACCTCCACCTCATCAAGTGGATGGTGGACCTCAGCCACCAGGGGCAGAGCTACCACGCCATCTGCCACCACCTTGCTGCCCTGTCCTCTTGGCATGTTGACCTCAGCCTCGACTCCTCAGCTTTCTCCCATCCTCACACCCAGCATGCCCTCAAGGGCTTCAAGCGCCTGTATGGCATCACCCTGCATGGCCAGAAGCTTCCCATCACTCTCCCCATCCTCCAGGGCCTTCTGGACACCCTCCGGGTCTCTGTCAGGGGTCTCGCGCCTGAAACCCAGGTCGGTCTGTCGAGATGCTTGGTGACTATCAAACTGTGTGACAGCTATTGTCTCAGTATCGGTCTCGACAAGCTAGTCCTTCAGCAACTATCAAGTTGCGTGATGACAGCAGGTTGCGTTCATTGTATATACTGTCGTAGGTTTTGGCTGACCTCTGTGGACACTCCATTCAGGGGTAGCTCAGCACGATCAATATCAATGTGTAGGTTGTGATGACACCAAGGTCTGGTGTGAGTGTTGATGATGATGAGGTTGATGGTGTTGATGATAAGGTTGGTGGTGTTGGTGATAAGGTTGGTGGCATCAACATGAGTGTCCAGTGTGTTGACTGTTGCTTGAGGTGATCCCCAGACCACAGTGGACTACTGCCTTCAGTTCTATCTTGATCCGGACTGCTAACCTGCTATGGGGCACCTTCGGATGTCAGGTAGTGGTGATACAACACACACACTATGATGAGGAGCAACCTTGATAGATTGCTGCTATGCTGACTGAAACTAATATATATGTATGCTGAAGTGATAACTAGTTATGATGGTTGTGTAGAGTGGATGAGGATCCACTTGACCTTTGATGATGAGAAAGCATGGTTATATACCTCTTCACAGCATTGCCAGCAATGCTGCTCCTGCTCTCTCTCCAGAGAGTACCTTCTTCATCGAGTACTGTTCAGGAGGCCTCTCCTGCTTGCTTGGCACCCCTGTGCCTCTTGAGCTGTGTTGACTCCTTTGACACTGCTCCTCCTCCTTGCTATCCTGCTTGTTTGGCACCCTTGTGCCTCCTGAGTGGTGTCGACTCCTTCGACACTGCTCCTCCTCCTCATGACCTGGTGTTGACTCCTTCGACACTGCTCCTCCTCCTCAGGACCTGCTTGTCAGTTCCCTATACACTGCTCCTTCCCTTTGACCGGTGATGGTTCTTTTGACTCTTGTCTCTCGAGCCCCTGAGTGGTAACCATCTGCATGCTCCTTGAGCTTGGTCCTCTTCATGGCTGTGCCTGCTCCTTGAGCTTGGTCCTCCTCGTGGCTGTGCCTGGCCCTCCTCGCATATGGCTCAGTCCTCCTTTGCATGTGAGTCCATAGGAGTCCATGGTCTCCATGGAGACTGCACTACGACCATGCTCTCTACTGGTATTGACTAGATCTTCGATACCTGTGCTCCTTCCATATGAACCAGTGACCCTCCTGCTTCTTGAGCATCCAAGCCCATGACAGTCTCCTCCACCTTATCCTCTTCCGACCAGGTCACTTTCGCTGCTGCTTTCACACTCGCCTATGCCTGCCTCCTTCATTGTGCCAAGTTCACCTGGTCCCACCTCAGTGACTCTGTCCTGCAGGTTGGCTCTGTCATGTGGGCCGAGACCTATGTGATGCTTCATCTTGCCCAGTCAAAGACGGACCCTTTCGGGAAGGGGGTCAACCTCATCATCCCCAAGGTCAGTGGTTTTGCCTGCCCTTACATGGCTCTCCTCACCATCTGTGGGTCCCACTACCCGCTGAACTTAAGCATATCAATAAGCGGAGGAAAAGAAACTAACAAGGATTCCCCTAGTAACGGCGAGTGAAGAGGGAAGAGCCCAAGATTGAAAGCTGGCGTCTTTGGCGTCCGCATTGTAATCTCAAGAAGTGTTTTCCGCTTCGGACCATGCCTAGCCCCCATGGGTGCCCCTCTTCGCCTTGGATGACAGGGCCACCCCCTTCTCCCATGAGCAGTTCATTGGTGTCCTCTGGCAGCTCCTGGGTCAGCTGGGGCTCCCCACCTTGGCTTATGCTGGCCACTCCTTCTGCCAGGGGGGGAGCCACCTGGGCTGCCCACTGTGGCACCTCAACTGAGGCCATTCAGGCCCTGGGCTGGTGGTCCTTGGACTGCTTCTGCTGGTACATTGACTGACCCCCCTCTGTCTGCAGCAAAATTGCTGCCAACTACCTTTTTGCGGCCTCCTCCTCCCCCTCTGATCTTTCCTCAGATTGGCATGTGACCCCTTAGCCTCTGGCTCCCATCCCCATCAGCAAAACCAGACCTCGCTGCACAACTGGTTTGCCCTTGGCATTGGCAGTCTGGGAGCCTCTCGAGCCTATGAGCACACCCATGCTCGCCCTGCAATCCTAGTCTCTGTTATGCTCTTTCTTTGCCCCTGTTATGGTATGAATTGAGGGTTCGGATACAAATACAGCAAGTGCGAAAAACAAAAGATAATGCGATGCGAAAAGATAGAAATAAGTGGTAGCTATAGAAAGGTATAGTGGCATGGATCGCCTCGAAGATGATCAACGTGAAGTTGGAAGGCCGCAAAAGACGCTAGCGGCGGGGTGATGGTCTACTTACCATCCTTAACCCGAACACCAGCCTCCTTCGCTGCCTTCTCAGCCATCTCCCTCTGCCCCTGCGCCGGCGGACTACCCTTCGCATTCTCCGAATAGGCCTCCTGAGTAGCCGTCATCAATTCATGAATCTGATAAATCTGTTCGTCCGACATCTTTTCCAACAGCTCCGCATCCAGTCTCTTTCCTCTGAAACCCCCCAGTGCACCTTGTTGCACTTCCAACTGATCCAGGTACATCTTCCATGAACTCAAGAATCCTACAATCTGCAGCGGATTGTCAATATCCCTATGTCTTCGAAATTCGTCTTTGATATAGTTGTCGCCGACAGCACGCATGTCAGCATCAAGATGACGATGAGCGCGGAGTAGACGACGATAGAGTTTGATGGGAGGGAGGATGGTGGATGCGGTGCGTTTGACTGCGTTAAGTTCGGAGCCTGGTGGGATGGGTTGGTTTGATGCCGATGCGAGGTGGCGGAGCGAAGCTCGGAATAGAGGGGTTGGCGTTGGTCGGAACATCTTTGGGTATATCTCTACAGTAAGCAAGAAGACAAGTAGAGAAGGAGTCAGCGAAATTCTTCCGATACAGGGAGAGTGTGTTGCTGCTTGTACTGTTGCTTGCTACGGTGTTTTCCTCCAAAAGGAAAGGTTGGACGGCTCAGAATGAAGAGTTGCGGCATCGACCAAAGCAAGATGAACCAACACAAGGTCGAAACATCGAAAGCAAAGGGCTCGGCGAAGAGGTGCCAGATAGTTGAGCGCTTTTTAATAACCTAGCGCGATCGCTCATTGCCGGTTCCAGTCGGAAAGAGAGGGCGTAGCAGTAGCAGCACCAATGGGCGCGGTGTTTGAAAAGATACGTACGATTTGACGTATGAACACCGAATTCTTTTTACATGGTGATGGTGGTGGAAGGGTGGGAGAACGTTGAGAGAGGAGAGTTTGAGGTTGTGACTGTGCGACGAAGCTTACGAGATCGACCGCAGGCAGCAATTATTTTCTCTGACTTTTGCCATTTCCAGTCGCTTCTCTGCCATTGGCTCACATTCCCGACCTGAGCTCATCGGCTCGATCGATCTCACTTCTCGCCTTGACGCTGTTGCCCGCCTTTGATACGAGGCTATTCACCTGCCAACCCCTTTCAATTGATGCACCAAAACAAGCTGATTAAATGCTTTTTTAAACTATTCTTTGTATGACAGGATGCTTTCTGAGTGAGATCGCCATGATACTGTGTGGTTGGAAGGCAATCTAGACATCTTCTTTCTCCTTCTTATGTCCCTTCGAATAGCACTTGTCCCACTCCTCCGCTTGATCAACCCATTCCAGCGGCTTTAAGAAAGAATGAATCGGGCACACACTATCACTTACGTCCCCAGCTGGAGCCTTCCCATCTCCACACCAGCCACCGCTATAAACGTGTGCAGGCTGATCATTGACCAGGACCCTCACAAAATCGTCGTCCTCCCCACATCTTAGCTTCTCCACCGTCAACCTCCCTGAAAAGGGTGTAGTCTTTGCTGTGCTCCACTCATGATTCTCATCCCAAAGTCCTAGCGCTGCAATGACAGGAGCTAGTTGATTATCGTGTGTAAAGTCAACAAAAGCGTTTGGACCTTCACCTTTCGGTAGAGGGAACTTTTCTTCGTTCCGATCGAGGGTGGTATTGATTGATGTCGGAGGATCCATCACCGGCTTTCTCCCCTCCAATCTCGCCAGTAGTTCTCGCAGCCAAGGGGTTGCTAAGGCCTTATGGAGGGGGTTGTGCCCTGCAAAGCCATAATCCTTCTCCATATTTGTACTCACCTCGTAGATCTGCGCAAACTCTTCCTCCTCAAACAGTCGGCAAAACGGACTCACCACCCCCTCGTTCCTCTCCCTATCCTCCAGCAGCAATCCATATGGATTCAGCCGTGCAACCGTATCAAACGCACACAGGCCAAACAGTTGCAGTACCTGTTTTGGCTCGAGATGAATCCTTTCCCCTCTCCTATCCTTACTACCTCCCTTCCGTACACCTAGCTTACTCGCCAGCCTCTCCCGAACATGCGCAGTAGCGTTGTGTGCGAAAGCAGCGGTTTTGAGCGAGGCAGGAGACTGTGCGTTGTCGCGGAAATCACGTTCGAAAGTGGGGCAGGTGTAGACGTCGAGTGTGTTGTTCGAAGCGATCTGGCCGAGCTTGTCGTTTTTGCGCGCTTCGGGGATGATAACGTCGGGATGGGGGAGGGAGGGAATGTGACGGTGGGGTTTGTGGGATTTGAAGGTTGAGGGGCGGTTTTTGGGTGGCCATGGGGCGGACTCGGGTGAGGCGTGGTGGAATGGAGAATGGGAGAAACCTTGGAGGAAGAAGCGGGAGGAAGTGATGACTCGGTCTGCGCCTGAGGATCTGACAAATGGTCGCCCTTTCGGGTGCTCGCTGTGCTTGTGAGGAATGTAGTCGGGCGTGAGGTACTGGCAGATGCGTGTGCGGAGGTGGGAGAAGAGCGTCAGGGCTGGCATTGATGCTGGTTTTGATGGTGAGCAGACCAAGTCGATCAAGCTGTTGGAGCTCAACTTGGTATCATAGTCTGCATTAACATCAATCTGCTCTTTGCCATCAAAGAGATGCGAGTATCGCTCATAGAAGCGCCATCCAGACGCAAACGCCTCATACTGACCATACGGAGTCAACTCCGAGTTACCCAGCCTATTCCTCAGTCCACCATCCTCGGTCTTTTTCGTCTCTACCCACTTCCTCAGCCATTGGAGTTGCGGATGTAATCCTTGGTTTTGCTTGTCGTGCTTGTTCGAGTCGGACACATGCTGGAGATGCTTTGCGATCTGTCGAAGCGTCTTTCGAAGCTCTTTATACGCTCCACCTGTCGGGTAGCGTGAGCCGTGCCTTTCGAGTTGGCTTACGAAAGTCACCTCGCAGTGGTCGGGGATCTTATCTTGGGGTGAGGAAGAGTTGACGGGGAACCAAGGGGAATACTGGCCAAGATTGTGAAAGATTTCTGGTGGGAGGAGTTGCGGGCTTGGCAAGTGAGGGGTGCCGGTCGCTGCTAGGCTGTGAGTGATTGCCGGCATGTTGGATCGTAGCTTCTCTGTCCAGCAGCTCTTCTGGTGGTTCCTGTCAGTCGCTAAGGGCGAAGGGGAACTCGAGGGGTAGAGTTTTATACATGAAGCTACGGCGAGGTCTGGAGCTCATCCGACTTTGATCAAAGGTTTGTCGCCCCGCTTGCGGTGCGAACCAGGCATGATGCCGAGACTGGCTTCCAGACAAACCAAGCGGATTGGCACGAATGCTAGTTGGATTGCGAAGGGCGCTCGGAGGGAACGTGGCAAGACTTCTGAAGATGCAACGATGCGAGAACGTGATCACTACTTTAGAGCTCCAAGAAGCAGAAGAACGGCAGATAAGCTGTCATGATGCGGCAAAGAGAGGACCCTTTCGGTCATGCTTTTGCCCCACATTCCAATCGTACGATCCTGATTGCTTGATGAGCAAATCGGGAGATCCAACGACTTGGTCGGATCGCATCCGACATCTCTTTTTCTCTTTTTCTCTCTCTGCACCCATGCCTTGCCGATTTTCACTCCAATACTTGGACGGCACTCTGCTTCTCTCAGCATTCAGGACAGGCTTCTATGATATGGCCGATTGCTATTCAGAAGAAGCTGTCTTAGGAGGAAGGAGTGAGCAACAAGGGACTTTGGAGTTGGAGTTCGGCTTTTTGGAAATAAGAGAGAGAGAGAGAAAAGCGCTTTGACGTCTTCCAACTGCGTCGTGCGATGTTAGGGAAGAACAACAGGGGGTTTCAGTTTTCTCTGAGTTTTCAAAACTCCGAGTTTTCATGGTTTTTTTGGATTTTGAAAGCTCACTGCTTAAGTAAGCTCTGCCAGGAAAGAAAAGCTCAGAAGTTTTGAAAACCCCTACTTATTTTTGCTGTGAGCCCAGGTTTCTGAATATTTGAGTTTTCAGCAGGAGTTTTTGTCATGTGCTGATATCACATGATTCTAACACAATTCTGCACACAACCCTTGACCTCCACTTTCTGCACTGTCTACACTTTCTCACACTTTGAGTTACATCTGTCCTTGCTTCACTTCTATCACCATCTCCAGTAGCATTTCCTCCCTGTCAGTGCCAGGACATGGACATGCCATCCCCTCAACCATATCAACAACATTACACTATTCACAGCTTTGCAGCAAGCCTCTGGATTGGCTCCAGCATCAGAGCAGTCTTCAACTGCTTCACAGCACAACACAATAATGTCAGCTCAGTCCAACCTTGATTGCTCTCATCAGTGCCACCCTTCTGCAACTTCCAGCACCTTGGCTGGGGCTGAGTCGACTCAGCCAGCAACCTCTCCCACTTCCCCTTTGTCCTCCTCCACTCCTTCTGGTTCCAATGCCACCACATCTGCCAGTTCTTTGCCTCGCCAAACCTCTACCCAGCCAACTCAAATCTCTGCAACTTGCAGACATCAAGCCAGTACTTGTGGCAGCAGGTTCAACAAAACAGATCATATTGCCTACTTCAATTGGTCACCTAGTGACATAAATAACCTCATTGATATCATCTACAATAATGATCATTACCAACGTGTTCTATTGCCAGGATGTTTGACTGCGGAACAGGAAAAGGGTCTGAAGACAAACAAAGATGTTATCTGTGGGCAGATATGGCAGGAGCTGTTCCCAGACAAGTCTACTGTTGGTGGTGCTGGTCAAGTAAAGACTAAGATTCGCTGGCTCACTGAACAATACAACAACATCAAGAAGACCATCTCACAGCAGACCAGTGCTGGAGTACTTCTTCAAGACATGGATCACAACAGCTCGGTAAGTACAACTTAGTTGATTCATGTTAAGTGTGCCAATGTTCTTATACTTTATATCTCTGTCTATGCTTCTTTATCAACTTGCAGGACTATGCCACATGCAAATCAATTGCTCAAAGCCACCCTTGGTTTGAGCACTGGCATGAGATGATGACCAACTGTGCACAGACTGGTCCAGTTGTTCTTCTCACTGGTCACCCATATGATGCCACCCCTGCCTCCTCTCAGAATAACTTGGTTGATGCTGATGTGAACATGGATGATGCCAGCGATGCTCACTACCCTCAGCAATGCAACATTCCTGGCATGGAATCCATTCTTGAGGAGTTGCAAAATGATCCCATTGGAGCAAGAGTTATCTCATCTTTTTCTTCTTCAGTTGCAGCCACCCCAGCTGCTGCTTCATCTTTATCCCACTCACCCTTCTCTTCCTCATCCAACCTGTCTTTGATTGGCCCCACCCCCTTCACCATTACCCCTATAGACACTCCAACCCACCAGCACTCATCCAGCACCGCTTTTGAGGCTGATGAAGTGGACAATGGTGATGGTGACTCTGTTTACCATTCTCCAGCCACAGGTACAACACCCAAGAAGTCTCGACCCTTCACTTCCAAGAGCAAGCGAGAAGAGCTGTCGGAAATTGTGCAGGCCTGCACCCAAGACATGCTTCAGGCACAAATCAAGGTTGAGGAGGAATGCACAAAGAGGGAGGAAATGCACATTCAATTTGCCAGGGAAGAAAGTGAGAGACAAGAGTGCATGTGAACTGAAGAGCATGGTTGGCTCATGGAGATGGTGCAGATGATGAACCCTAATTTACCCTTTGGCAACATTGCTGGAAGTAGTCAAAGCAATCTTGATCTTGACCCACTGGTTCTTGCCATGGATCAGCAGGACAATAGCAATTCAGCTCATGAGTAGACCATTTGGCAAGAATGGTGTTCCTTTTGAGTTCTCCAAGTTCTGTTCCTGTGTTTCCAACTTGTTGTACCATTGCTCTCTGTAAAGCTAGCTCTCAATATGTATGACTAGCATACCCCATACCCAGTCTTCCATGTAATCTCTCAAATGTAGATTGCTTCAATGTGATGAATTGTTCCACATACAAGATGCTGATCGGTGTAGCCCCGGTTCCAAGCATGCATGTTGTGCAGAAATCAGCTGTGCAGAACCCAGCTGTGCAGAACTCAGCTGTGCAGAACCCAGCTGTGCAGAACTCAGCTGCATTGTGTTTGTAGCTTTGGACTCTCTTTTGGACCACATCATCCTCTCCTATTTCTGGCCCTCTACTTCAACCATGGTGTGCACTTCTGACAAACAGCACCTCCTGGATGACATTGAGACCACCATCATGCACTCATTGATGGTGGAATCCAAGATGCAACTTGATCTGATGGATGTCGATGCCACTTGGCACCCTAATGATGACCTTGAAGATTCTGATGATGACATGTTTGATCATGCTATCTCATTCGTGCTCATCAGGACTTACAACATCATCAGCCAGTCTCAATACACAGTTGAATGCCTTCAACTGCTGCAATGAAAGGATCCCCTCATCAACATGCTTGATCAATATGCTGTCATCAACTGCAAGCTCTTTTGAGGGGCTGTTTGCATGACCCCAGATGCATTCCAAGCTCTCACTTACAGACTCAGCACAACCAATGCCTTCAGATCAATATCAAGCTTTTGGCATGTTCAGCAGCAAGTGGCAGTTGGTCTATATCAGCTTGGACAGTCAGGAAATGGTGGTGGAGTTTGTGATGTTGCATTTGCCTGCAGTTGCAGTTGGGGCTCAGTTCATGTGTGGACAGATAGGACTATTGCAGGCCTATACAAGCTGAACAGTGAGGTAGTAACCTTTGCAACTGAAGATGAGCATGCTAAGGCAAAAGCATGGGTTGCTGATAAGAGTGGAGTCGAGGAATGGTCTAGAGGATGGTTGGTGGTAGATGGTACACACATCAATCTTGCTTGGAAGCCAGCACTCAATGCTCATGAGCATTACTCATACAAGGGTGATTATACATTCAACATTGCCCTTGTCTTCCTCCCTCATTCCTTGCACATTGTCAAGTCGGTGGTTGGACATCCTGGTGTCACAGGGACGGCTGGCCTGCGCAAGAGAGTGCGCCAGATGATCAGCGGCAGTTATGATAATGTCGCATAACGGAGCAGTATATGAAGGGTGTGCAGAAGATCAACATATGAAGGGTGCGCCAGATTGATCAGAGTCGACAACCATCAGGGATCAACGAGATTAATCGGGTTGGCAGTGCACATGATTTACAAGATCAATCGAACCCCGGGAATCCAGATCGATCTCATGGGAACAGTCAGAGTCAGCCGGACCATTATGCTTCAACAAGTCGGCTGATCCAAACAAGTACTCAGAGCTATGCTGATGACGGAGGCAGTCGGATCAGCACGCCTCAACTAATTGGCTGATCCGAACAGGTATTTGGAGCTGTGCCGATGTTGGAATCAGTCAGATCAGCATGCTTCAACTAGTCGGCCGATCCAAACAAGTATTCAGAGCTGTGCCGACATCAGAGTCAGTCAAATCAGCATGCTTCAACTAGTCGGCTGATCCGAACAAGTTGAGATGGAACTGAGCTGATGTGACTACATAACCAGGGGGTATGGTCACAAGGTTCAAAAGGGGATTCGCAAGATTAAGTCGAAAGGGGGCCGTGCCGGAAGGGGGCATCACACATCAGACAGAAGGAGAGCATGAAGGCGAGAGGGCAGTGTTGCATAACCCTTGTGCCGAGCAAAATGGTAGAAGCACAGTATCGAAGGGGATGATGCCAGCAGGGCAAGGCAGTGCCTAACAGGGGACAAAGGCCCCTCAAGAGGAGCAGGATAGGTGTCGAGGGAAAACACTGATCGAACATATAAATACTCTCTTTCTACCATAGCATTCGAGTGGATGGGCATCCACTCTGAAAACTCTACTACTTACTCTATACTTACTAGGTTACGTATCTTCGCAATAGCAGTGCTCTTGCAACGACTCTCAATGTGTGTGTTGTATCACTGTTAGTTGACAACTGTAGGCAGTGTTCTTTACACTAGCGGTCCAGTTCACAACTGTAGGCAGTGTTCTTTACACCAGTGGTCCAGTTCATTACTGTAGGTGGTGTTCTCACACTAGCAGTCCAGTTCCTTGCTGTAGGCAGTGTTGCTCAACACCAGTGGTCCAGTCGGTTATTGTAGGCGGTGTTTTACACCAGTGGTCCAGTAACTCATGTTCTCTGTAGGCGATTGGCATATCACAGTCCAGATGACATCCAAGAGCATATCAACAGTACTACGAACACTCATACTGTAGGGGAGGGTGTATCATGCACTCACCAACAAACAACATCTGTGCCGTGCAACCTCTGAATGGAGTGTTCAAGGCGGTCAGTCGAGACTTACTAGGCGACGATGCTTGGTTATGTTTAGGCAAATCATATCGAGTAGTCCTTACTCAATCAACCCCAGCTAGTCTCTGGCATGTGACCGCTTACATTAGAGTGGATCGTTCAAGTTGTGCCCCACAACAACATGACGGAGCCTGACACCAAGGATAGGTTTGAGGAGCTGCAGAGGTTAATGGAAAGGTCCAAGGAAAGAATGGAGAAGCTCCTATCAATGAATTGGACAGTTACCAACCATTTTGTGCAAAGGTTGGAGTCATTGGAAGCCCTCGTCAGGAGCAACAGTCAGTCTGAGGAGACTACCAATGAGGAGTCATTCAAACCCAACCCAGCACCCAGACCACACAGGATGGGGTCATTCCTAGGTCAAAACACGCAATCATATTCAAACTACAAGAAGTATGCGACCCCTACCGGGCTGAGGTACAGTCAGCCCTATGAAGGAATACCTAGGGACACCGAATATGACGTCAAGAACATGGGGGAGCCTTCCCCTGGTCAGTCTAAACCACTTTCCACCCCTTTCCCAAAGTTCAATCCGAGGGATGTGGAGATCTTCCTGATCGAAGCTGAAACATGGTTTGCATTCAATCGAGTCTATGACCACAAGAGCATGATCCATCACATGGGGTCCCAGTTGGAAGGGAATGCTTGCGAATGGTGGACATCCAAGATACGAATTGATCACGACCAACAAGGGAGATTGTTCCATGACTGGCATTATTTCAGACAACGCTTGACCGAACAATACAACCCCCGCAATTCGAGAATCGAAGCTTACAACAAGCTACTCAACATGCAACTCACAACTGACACACCTGGTGCAGCTACTCGACATGTTGAATGGTTCAGGGACCTTGAAGGGCAAGTCAATATGGAGGACAGGGACTTGGTTATTGACTTATTCCGAAGTACCCTCACCCACGGTCTTCAGGAGAAGTTCAAGCGAAACCCACCTACAAGTATTTGGGAATGGTATCAAGAGGTAGAGGACATTGATTGTCAACAAATGGTGATGCAACATTCTGCCTCAAGATATCCCAGCATACTTACATCTCGCATGAACCTGGTCGCACAAGCAACAACAACAGCAATCCCACAGGCCCGACAACCTGGACCTGTAACTGCAGGTACTTCATACTGATTTGGTAATCGTCCCCTGCCTCCTCACCTGTTACAAGCCCAGAAGCCAAGGGAGGCTAACCCTCAGGACAGCAACACTTGTCACGTGTGCAGAGGCACAGGACATTGGGCAAGGGATTGTCCTACTAGAAAACCTCCCGTACCAATGACAACCAGACCTAATGGTCCAAAAGTCATGGTGACCTTAGAAGATGCCCCCGAGGGAGAATCAACTCCTGAGGAGGAAAGCACGACTGAAGAAGAACTGCAAGATGCATATTCAGTCAAGCAAGCCAGCCTCGAGCTCACTCAGTTATCTCTCGCTGACGAGGCAGAGAGCGATTATGAGGAGGACGAGGAGGGAAATGTCAGTGGGATGATGCCCTGATGGCGTGCATTGCCCTACAACCTTGGTTGCCATCCATTTGTACATATCAAGATTGTTCTGTTTGTTTCTCTGCTAACACAAGCAAGGCAGTGCTCAAGTTAACGGGTATGATCCAAGATCACCTGGCCCGAATACTCACCGACACAGGTGCAGGCTTATCCATAGTTTCAGAATCTTTCGTCAGCAAGTACCACTTAAACACAAAACCAACAAAAACACAAACTGTACATGGTGTCACCAGACACAAACTTGCCATTAACAGCTCTGCTACAGTGCAGGTAGTTATTGGAAAACATGTACTAGGGGCAGTGGAGGCATCAGTAGCTGACACTGCTGAGTATGACCTCATTCTGGGTTTCTTGGAATTGAAAAGGTTGAGACCAACGATCCAGTGGGATACTGGCCAACTCGAATTCAAGACCCAAGCTCAGAAGGACCAACCAGAAGAGTCAGGAGCCCCATGACTGGCGCCCCTGAAGAAAAACAAAAAGGATCCCCCTGATAAGAACTATAAGTCTATAAAACTTCATGGACACGAGTTCGTATCAGTGGAAAGATTGATCCAAGCAGCTCTGGAGGATGGCCCTATTGGGTTCATGCTGCTAGACACTCCACCCTCATCCCTTCTGGCATTCGGATTTGTGCCTACTGGAGCCAATCGAGGGGTAGAAATGGAGGTAGAAGCGGATAAACTGGTTATGATCAAGGACATACTGGAACTGTACCAACATCTATGAGAGGTGTTCGACGAGGTGGAAGCAGACAAGCTACCACCACACACAGAGAACGATCTACAGCTTGAGCTGGCTGAAAATAGTAAGCCCCCTCAAGGACCATTATATCTCAAGGGACCAAAGGAAATGGCCAAACTCCACAAGTACCTTGACGAAAACCTAGCCAAAGGTTTCATATGGCCATCGAAGAGCCCTGCAAGATCACCAGTACTCTTTGTACCTAAAAAAGATGGAGGATTGCGACTCTGCATCGATTACAGGGGCTTGAATGAAATCACAGTCAAGAATCGAGCACCATTACCACTCATTGATGAACAGTTGTTCCTCCTATGCAAGGCAAGGATATATTCAAAACTGGATCTCAGAGCCACATATAACCTTATCTGTATTGCGGATGGAGATGAGTGGAAGACAGCATTTGGAACCCAGCTGGGTCTTTATGAGTATTTGGTAATGCCTTTTGGCCTAGCTAATGCTCCTGCCCATTTCCAGTCATTTATCAACCACATCTTCCATGATATCATTGGAATATACATGGTGGTGTATCTGGATGACTTCCTAATCTTTAGTGACATGAAAGAGGAACATATCACACATGTCATCAAGATCCTGTCATGCTTGAAGAAGCATTGACTATTCACCAAGCTGTTGAAATGCAAGTTTCACACAGACACCATCGAATTCTTGGGGTATATCATAAAAACCACAGGGATAGAAATGGATCTGGAGAAGGTATGAATGGTTACAGAATGGCCTATGCCTGAGTCGATCCATGACATCCAGCATTTCTTAGGCTTTGCAAACTTCTATCGGAGATTCATAGCTCATTTCACATGCATCACAAAACCACTTACATCGTTAGTAAAGCCCATGGAATGATTCAAGAAGTTTGAGTTACTGGGAGATGCCAAGCAGGCTTTTCACAAGCTCATCCAAGTGTTTATGACAGCTGGGGTGTTGAAACACTTCAACTATCACTTGCTGACATGGCTAGAGACAGATGCAAGTGACTTTGCCATTGCTGGGGTATTAAAACAGGAACATGAAGGACATTGGCATCCAGTAGCTTACTATTCTTGCAAGATGGCATCAGCCAAAAAGAACTATGAGATACATGATAAAGAGCTCCTTGCAGTGGTGGCCTGCCTCACCCAGTGGTGCCATATGTTAGCTGGATTACCCAATCAGCTTGTCATTCTGACAGATCACGAAGCCCTCAAGTATTTTAAATCTCAACAATGTATTACTGGAAGACAAGCTAGATGGGCAATATTGTTGGCCGATTTTGATTTTGTGCTACAATATTGTCCAGGTGACAAGGCTGGAGAACCAGATGCATTAACTCAGAGGAGAGACATGCAACCCATTGGGGAGGAACAGGAACACAATGTGCGACAGTTACTACCATCCAGGGTGTTCGAGAAAGTTCAAGATGAAAATGAACCACAGGACATCCCCGAAACAGCAGGGGTTGCTTCAGTACTGATAGCAGCCATGCCAACAATGGAGGCTATCACTTCTCAAGGATTACTAGGCCTAGTCCGAACGTTCCAGCCCCTAGATCAGGAACTTCAAGAGATGCAAGCCCAGACACCTTTTGAAACCAGGAACAGGCTCTGGCACAAAGACGGATGCCTGGTCATTCCAAAGGTAACCATGCCAGGAAGAACCAACAAATGCAGGACATGAGGCACACAAGAAGTAGATGACCAATCCCTCTCAGTGGAACATCTACGATTCATGGTGATGTCTCAGTGTCATGATGGTGTAACTGCTGGACATGTTGGATGGGACGCCACTATCCGGTCTGCCCAAAGACACTACTGGTGGCCTAATATGACAGCCTGGATTGCAGACTATGTGGCGAGTTGTCCTGTATGCGCATGATACAAGACACCTTGACACTGACCCTATGGTCTCCTCCAACCGTTGTCAACACCAGAAAGGCCATGGGGATCCATATCATTGGACTTCATTGAAGGACTGCTGATGTCAGGAGTCTATGACTCCATCTTAGTCATAGTAGACTGACTGACCAAGTATACAATCATGGTCCCAACGACAAAGACCATAATGGTGGAACAGACAGCTGTACTTCTCAAAACAAACCTCTTTCCACTATTTGGCGCCCCAGACCACATCATCTCAGATCGCAGATGACAATTCATATCCAAGTCTTGGTCCACATTTGTAGACAGCCTAGGTGCAAAACACTTGCCCAGTATGTCCTATCACCCCCAAACCAATGGGCAGACAGAACGAGTAAATCAGGTCATAGAGCAGTACCTCCGGATGTACTGCAACTATGAGCAGGATGATTGGTCTAGCTTAATTCATATGGCGGCATTCGTGTACAACAACACTGTGCATGCTAGTATTGGCATATCCCCATTTTTTGCTTGCTATGGTTGGAATCCCAAGTCACATCTGGAGATACCTGGAAAACTTGGGGTAAATGACCCAAAGCTTGCCAAATACTTCACGGACAATACTGAATGAATTAAGTATCTTCAAGATCATATCAGACAAGCTCAGAGTCGGGCAGTCAACCAATACAACTGCAAATGGAAAGATATTGAATTCAAAGTGGGTGACCTAGTGTACATCAATCGAAGAAACTGGAAGACAAGATGACCAACCCCAAAGTTGGACATGAGGTTGGCAGGCCCATACCTGATCAAAGAAAGGGTTGGTAGAAGGGCATATCGAATCGGTCTACCAGTAAACCTCCAAGTCCACGACATTTTTCATGTATCAATGTTGGAGCTGGCCAGGACAAGCACACTTCCACACCATGTGCAGATTCCAGTAGAGCTACTGTTACTGGAGGAGGACCTCGAATTCGAGGTCGAGGCCTTACTGGACAAACGAGTTCATAATCACAAGATCGAATACAGGGTACTCTGGCAAGGGTACCCAGAAGAAGCAGCATCATGGGAGTCGATCGACCTTCTTGATTGCCCAACCCTCATCCAGGAGTATGAGGAATCGGCAGGGGGACAACGACTATAAGTTTCAACAAAAAAGCAACACAAAAACTTCCACAAAAAGCGACACAAAATGGAGGAGAGCAAAATGTATTGACAGAAGGCAAAAACTCTGTTCAATTTCGTAGCATCTCACGCAAGTCAACAAAAAAAAAAGAGACATAGGCTTTAGAGAAAAAAGGAGCAAAAGAAAATTGAATTGGGGGCAGATACAAACATGTCATTACACATCGCATTCATGAGTAGGAATGAGAGGAGGATGAACCCAGCATCCTCAGAAGAGGAAATCAGCATTCTCACCAGGTACTGTGACAGACTCATGAGGTTGATGCTCCGAGCACAACTTATCATGACAATCAAGGTACAAGAAGAGAATCCAAATGATTGGGAATGCCATCGCTCAGTTAGGTGAGTGCCAGAGAACACCGATGGCAAATATCCATTCGTCGGAGGTGTCAGGGTCAGTCACTTGATCATTGGCACAAACAAATCCCAGACCATAACCATTGGTCACAGTCAGATGCACATGCTCTGCCAGGTAAGTGCCCTGAGGCTGCCTGTTGGGGGGACCGTCACCAAGGTACTCCATGTCTGGAGAAACGGGAATTGTCTGTTTGCAATGCAACAAGTTGCCAAGGTGACAATGAGTGCAGGTGCGAGGAACACAACTGTAAGGGATGAAGGGGTTGACAAATGCAGAAGGAAAACAACTAAAAAAAAGGGGGTTAGTGTTGGCAGTAAGAAAGAGAATGGTGTACAAAAGACTACTTACGGGAGACTAAGACTAGCACACCGGGCACATTGCCAGCTAGGCCAGGGCATACAACCCTCGGTCATTCGAAGCATGGCCAGACAGTGCAGTTGCTGTTCAGTTGAAGAACCTCTACCTACCTCCCACTCTGGAGGATAGTCCCCAGTAGCAATTTTTACCACCAGCCTAGACACCACCAATCCTTCAGACCAACCAGCTATCTCACCGTTGGTAGGTACATGATGATCAAGGGAAGGAGGGGCTGGAGTACATGCCAAGTCTACTTCCACAGCATCACGATGGTCAGAGGAAGAAGTCGTGGGGCGTTCCAGGTCAAGGAATGAAGGATTGGGTCTGTACATGTGCCCAAGGGAGGAGCAGAGGGAAAGCAAGGAAGCAGCTGGGCTTGGGAAGGCCAAGTCATCAGGAAGGGAAGATGTAGGCAACAGGGGAGTCTGGATAGAAGAAGTTGGACTAGGCAACAGGGGAGTCTGGATAGAAGAAGTCAGACTCTGAGGGGCAGGGTCGTTGTTAGAAACCTTGACCATTGTAGTAGGAGGTGAAGGGGAAGTCCTCAAAGGACGAGAATGACAAAGACAGGGCATACCGAGTAGAGGGATATCGGTTGCATGATATGGTAAGAGGAGAAGAAAGAGGGGATGAAAAGAAAGACAAAGGAGGGCTTATATAACCTTGACAGAGCTCAGCTCTGGAAGGGGGGGTAATGTCACAGGGACGGCTGGCCTGTGCAAGAGAGTGTGCCAGATGATCAGCAGCAGTTATGATAATGTTGCGTAACAGAGCAGTATATGAAGGGTGCGCAGAAGATCAACATATGAAGGGTGCACCAGATTGATCAGAGTCGACAACCATCAGGGATCAACGAGATTAATTGGGTTGGCAGCACACATGATTTACAAGATCAATCGAACCCCGGGAATCCAGATCGATCTCATGGGAACAGTTGGAGTCAGCCGGACCATTATGCTTCAACAAGTCGGCCGATCCAAACAAGTACTCGGAGCTATGCTGATGACGGAGGCAGTCGGATCAGCATGCCTCAACTAATTGGCCGATCCGAACAGGTATTTGGAGCTGTGCCGATGTTGGAATCAGTCAGATCAGCATGCTTCAACTAGTCAGCCGATCCAAACAAGTATTCAGAGCTGTGCCGACATCAGAGTCAGTCAAATCAGCATGCTTCAACTAGTCGGCTGATCCGAACAAGTTGAGATGGAACTGAGCTGATGTGACCACATAACCAGGGGGTATGGTCACGAGGCTCAAAAGGGGATTCACAAGATTAAGTTGAAAGGGGGCCATGCTGGAAGGGGGCATCACACATCAGACAGAAGGAGAGCATGAAGGCGAGAGGGCAGTGTTGCATAACCCTTGTGCCGAGCAAAATGGTAGGAGCACAGTATCGAAGGGGATGATGCCAGCAGGGCAAGGCAGTGCCTAACAGGGGACAAAGGCCCCTCAAGAGGAGCAGGATAGGTGTCGAGGGAAAATACCGATCAAACATATAAATACTCTCTTTCTACCATAGCATTCAAGTGGATGGGCATCCACTCTGAAAACTCTACTACTTACTCTATACTTACTAGGTTACGTATCTTCGCAATAGCAGTGCTCTTGCAATGACTCTCAATGTGTGTGTTGTATCACCATTAGTTGACAACTGTAGGTGGTGTTCTTTACACTAGTGGTCCAGTTCATTACTGTAGGTGGTGTTCTCACACTAGCAGTCCAGTTCCTTGCTGTAGGTGGTGTTGCTCGACACCCAGTGGTCCAGTCGGTTATTGTAGGTGGTGTTTTACACCAGTGGTCCAGTAACTCAGGTTCTCTGTAGGCGATTGGCATATCGCAGTCCAGATGATGTCCAAGAGCATATCAACAGTACTATGAACACTCGTACTGTAGGGGAGGGTGTATCATGCACTCACCAACAAACAATGTCCATGCCGTGCAACCTCTGAATGGAGTGTTCAAGGCGGTCAGTCGAGACTTACTAGGCGATGATGCTTGGTTACATTTAGGTGAATCATATCGAGTAGTCCTTACTCAATCAACCCCAGCTAGTCTCTGGCGCGCGACCGCTTACACCTGGGTCATCACATGATGCACAAGTCTGGGCTTCAGGCAGTGGTATTGTTGCGAAGCCTCGTTTGCATCTTGATGAAGGCGAGTTTGTCTGGGTTGATGCTGGTTATGGCTACTCCAGCTACACAGTTGGACCATACAGCAACACTGCAGCTGCAAAGAGCAGAGATCTCCACTACTTCAACTATTCACTCTCCTGCATTTGTGTCAAGGCCGAACATGGCATTGCCTACCTCAAGAACCACTTCCAATGTCTCATTGGATTTCGAGGCAACCTGTATCAAGAAGAGGACCATGAGAAAGCTGCACATATGGTCCAGGCTTGTATCATTGCACATACATTCGCAAGCCATTATGATCGACCAGATGAGGTGGCAGAATACCTTAAGGCATCAGAAACTCTATCTGAAGCTGAGGTGCTGGAGACCACGTCAGGGATGGAAGCATATCAGCAGGCTACTGAAGATGCAAGGATACAACAAAGGGAAAACCAGCAGCAATATGAACAGGAACAGGCTGCTGCCATGGAGGGCATGTCTCAGAACCAAGTCCAGAAGTTCAGGCAGGAGAAAGCACTGGATCTTAGGGAGGAGATGCTCACTGCACTTTTTGCTTCTCATGGTTGCCCTTTTGAGGACACAACAGCAGAATCTCAAAGGATGGGAATGACAACATTGGCCTTTGCTGAATGGCAGGAGAGACAAAACCAACAGCATGAGGCTTGCAGAAGACAGCAATCAGAACAGGTGTGATGTAAGCTATTTGCTTTAGCTTTTCAATCAAAGGTTTTGGCATTGTTCAGTATAGTGTTCAACAATGTCTGATATGATCACTTTGATCTTGACCTGGTGTAGGGAATCAGAGATTGTTTTTACCAGGCAGTCAAGTGAAACTCCAAGATGCATGTGTCACAGGCCTGTGCAGTTTCTTGGGGCATCAAAAATTGGGGCCCAAACATATTTTCAAAGTATTGTGTTTTTCAAAACTCAGAGATAACTGAAACCCCCTAGTCTGCATCACAATAGTCACACTGTCGTGCCTGAGTGAGCGAGCGAGTACAGTGAGGAAGAGTTCGTCCGTACAGAGCAGTCGCTGTTGCTATTTGTCAGACTTTTCGCGTTTTTAAAAACGTGGGTTTTTCGAGGGGCGCGCTTTTGGAGGAAATAAGGAAACGCAAGTTTACAAAAACGCGAGGTACTCATACGGCCGATAAGAGACACAAACTAACAGTAAGCATATGAAACATGACGGGGCATCTATCTTCTCCTCCTTGGGTATCGGATAGCCGGTATGCCGATGCCTGTCGTAGGCCAACATGCTACGGATCCGAGTGAGCGAAGGTGACGAAGGTGTGAGATCGAACTAGAGCTCACATACTTTCACACAGCTTCGAAAAACCCGCGTTTTTAGAAACGCGAAAAGTTTGATACTTCCTAATGCTCGGCCCATCTCTCTCTCTCTCTCTCTCTCTCTCTCTCTCTCTCTCTTCTGCCAAGCTTACGGACTTGATTTCGCATCCCGCTCTTTCTGCTCCCAACACACGCGGTGCCGTTTGATGTTGCTGCTGCCCATCGTGACTCTATACCCTTCGCTTCGCTTGTGGCCTCGCTTTGGGTTGAATAATTGTGCTTGAGTGGGCTTCAATTTGCTAGGTCTGCGTGGTTGGTGCGCATCAGCCATGTTCTTCTTGCTTCGTTCTAACCAATCCTCTTTCCTCGACTTGACTTCATTCCCCGTGCTCTCCTCCCCTCTCCTCCCTTTCATCCGCCTCATCACCACTTACTTCGGGTCCGCACCCGGTTCCATCCCAAACCCAACCTTCTTTCCCCCCCCCCGTCACCATCACCCGTCACTCAACCTTATCGGAAGACTCATCCGAAAGTGTTTCAACGATGCCGGCAGTTCCGCCCGTCTCACGGCAACAAGCCCTTTCCTCCATCGTCGAGCAATTCACCCTCTCCAAACCTCTTCTGGAATCCCTCATCGCCCGCTTCCATGAACTCTACGATTACGGTCTCTCCCACGATGGAGCTGAAATGCAAATGATTCCATCCTTCGTCACCGGAGTCCCCACCGGTTCCGAAAAGGGTACTTACCTCGCTCTCGATCTCGGTGGAACCAATCTTCGCGTTTGCGAAGTCGCTTTGGACGGCAAAGGCACTTTCTCCATCAAACAGGAAAAGTATCGCGTTTCGGATGCGCTCAAGCAAGGACCTGTTCGCGATCTCTTTGATTATATGGCAAGAAGCGTTGATAACTTCTTGACCGACTTCGGGTACTGCTTCCACCGAGGATGTTCTTCATTTGGGCTTGACATTTAGTTTCCCGGTGGAGCAATCGGCGATTGATCGCGGACACTTGATTCATTGGACGAAAGGTTTCAACTGCCCGGATGCACCAGGAAGGATGTGGTTCAGTTGTTGCAGGAATCGTTGGATAGGAAGCATATTAAGTCAAATGCAGTGCTCTTGTCAACGATACCGTAGGTGCGCTGTTGGCCCATGCTTATGCATCGAAAGGTGCACTGATCAGTGCTATCTTTGGTACCGGTACCAATGGCGCTTATCTGGAAAGCATTGATAAGATCAAGAAACTCAAGGCTGCGCAAGGATCGATCAGTCACATGGTCGTCAACACGGAATGGGGTGGATTCGATGATCAGCGTAAAGCTCTCCCGTGACTATCTTTGATAATAAGGTGGATAGGGAATCGATCAGACAAGGAATCATATCTTTGAGAAGATGATCTCGGGCATGTACCTTGGCGAAGTGGCTAGATGTGTGCTTTTGCACTTGATCGATCAGTTGGTGTTGTTCCAGGGGTACAGCTCGGCGTTGATGAATAGGCAGTATGCTTTCGATACGGCGTACATGTCTGCGGTCGAAGCTGATAAGGAGGATGCCAGTTCGCCTAGCAGTGCGACCAGGAAAGTGCTGGTGGAAACGATGAAGATCAAGCCTGAGTATGTCTCAGCGGAAGATGTGGAGACGGTAAGGAAGGTATGCGAGATTGTCGGAACGAGAGCGGCTAGATTGAGCGCTGTAGCTATTGCGGCACTATGATTCAGACTGGGAACGTGCAGAGTACGGGACCGGAAGATGATGGAGTGAAAGTGGGCATGGATGGTAGTGTGATGAGTATTATCCAAGTAAGTAGCAAACGCTCGCCTCTTTTAGCTCGGGTTTGTTGCAAGTTGTCGGCTAACCTCTCTTCTTACTTGCTCGTGTTTGTGACAGACTTCGAGGTACGCATGCGCAGTGCACTACGCCGAATTGATTGGCGACGAGGGCGAGAAGCGCGTCAAGATCGGTCTTGCAAAGGATGGAAGTGGTGTAGGAGCTGCATTGGGCGCGCTGCAAGCGGCTAAACAGGCTGCCAGCGGTCATCGTGTGTTGAGTCAGTATCACAGACCGACCCCAACTTTGCTTGCTTTCGGTTCCCTTGCTGAACTTTTCTCTGCTGCTCTTCCCGTTTCTTTCTTACTACAGAACTTGAATTGTCGACCATGAGGGTCACATTGAATGAATCGCAACCCTCCTGTACTCAACACACGCAAAATTACATTCTATCAGCATCATCACAGCAACATCGGATCATGAGGGAGCAAGATTGTATTCGAGCATCGAAGAGGCCAGGGCAGACGGAACATAAAACAGGCACGCAGCGGGAGATCTTGGTGGGGCGGTATCAGCATGTGTTTTAGAAGTAAGGCTAACAATGCCCGGAACTTGGAGGAGAAAATTATTTATCGACCCCAACTCTTCTCAATCTCGACAAAACTATAGAGGGAACCTTTAATCACCGAATCTTTCCAATCTTTGAACTTGATCCCTAGATCCTTCTCTGCCTTACTTGTATCCAATTTTGCCAGTGGATTAGGTCGATGTTGTTTCCCGTGTTCACCCTTCGGAATGTGATGCTTCAATTCCTGTGGATACTCTGGATTATCATGTATCTCATCGGCCACTTGCTGCCAGCTTACACTTCCACCACAAGCGACGTACCTCGTCTTGCACGCCTTTGGGTTGTCCAACGCTTTGACGTGGATTTCAGCTACGTCTCGCACATCGCAGAACGACCAAAAGCTTTCCACTGGAATTTACCATCTCCATTGGGTCCACCAGCTTTGTAAAGTTTCCAGGGTTCGGCGGAAGAGGTGTTGATAGCCTCTTCGGATTTGACTTGGTGAATGATGGGGCCGTAGATCTGTGGTGGGTTGACGGTTGCAGCGTCAAAGCTAGGATTGTGCTGGTCGAGGAAGTTCCATACTGATTTTTCCGCTAGGGTTTTAGAAATGAGGTAGGCGAGGGAGAGTAGAAATAACCCATAAAGGAGTACTGAATCGGTTGCCAGTCCTTATCCGTATACGTGTAGTCTCTTTTCTCAATACCTCGAAGCGGGTTGAGAATAGCAGCGAAAGAGGAGGTGAGGACGATACGCTTGAGTTGAGGTTTGCGACCGGCGGTTTTGTCAGCTTGTTCAGATTTTAAGGCTGCTGAAAGGACGTTTTGCGTCATCTTGAGGGCTGGGTCGATAATATCGCGTTTGTTATTGGATGCTTTGAGGACGTAAGGGGATGCTACGTGGACGATGTAGTCTTTGCCCAGCACGGGTTGGTCGAGAGAACCGGGAGCGAGGAGGTCAGAGACTTGGACAACATGAATGCGTTTTCCAAATTCATCTGCGAATTGGCGAGATAGCCAGGGCTCCGTCTTGGCTTTGGATCGAATAACACAGGTGACATGGTAGTTGCGGTCGGATTTTAGGAGTTGGTCGAGGACATGAGATCCTACGAAGCCTGATACTCCAGTGAGGAGCACTTTAGGTCCTTCAGCTGGCGCCGACATATTCACCTGTCAGCTCTTGAAGGGTTATAGTTATGGTTCGGAAAAGGTTGTAAAGCTGGAGACAAACCCTTGTATCTTGGCAAGGAGGGTGGATGGTGGT